CCTCTCCTGGGGACACAATGTGCAGGCAGCTGAAGCCTAGACACCTCTTGGCTGTTTCTCCAGCAGAAAGCTGGAACTTTTTCAAAATGAAATTTTGCCTACAGTGCATTTCAAACACGCAATGCTTGTTTTCCCTTAGGAAATGATTGCAGTTGAAATTCCCAGCCCTCCTACTGCACATCTGACTGCATGTTCTTGCATATTCCATTCCCTCTGATTGCACAGAAGCTGAGTTTGGTTTTCTCACTGTCTTTGCCTCTGGCCATTGATGTTCCATGTCCCATCCTCTCAGCCAAATATCTCCTTGCCTGCTCAGGAACATCTGGGTATCAGAAGCCAGACTAACAGTTTGTATCTTGTTTTAACTCCCCCCAACCCTGTGCATGTCCAGCTCCTTGGACAAAGACAGAGCTCTGGTGGATGGTGGGAATGCTCCTGTGCACAGTAACCTGCAGTTACCTGACAGTGGAGGGGGAAATACCTCAATTCTCTTTATCTGGTGTAGGATGCTGCTGCAGTTTCTTTCTGTGATAGCAGGGATTCCAAATGTGACACACACTCTGCTCAGGCCTTGGAGGCCTAGAGCTCATTCCTGTAGGGATGACTGGGTAAAGACAACGTGGATGTCCATAGCAGGGCAGGTCTGTGCTGCCCCTGTACTGGAGCAGGGAGCTGTGCTGCCTGGTGACTTCATCAGCCACATCTGAATTGCAAAGTAGGCTGAGCCAAGTCCCTCTCAGCTGGTAAAGCATTTAGAGAGAGCACAAGGCCTTTTTAGGGACTGCAGTCCATCCTGAATTTCATCTGGAAAAGAGCCAGGAACAGGGCTAGAATGTACAACTGCAACAGCTCAGGCCAAAGGGCTGCTCAGACACTCTGACCTTGGTCTCCATTCCATTGCTCTCTGCAGCTCCCCTGCCACAGAAATAATGCCTTTGGTCACCTTCCTCTGCAGTCTCCGGTCACTGCCTGTCAGTCTGGCTGGCTGATACTGTGACAAGGACGTCCTGCTGCATCCCAACTCATCCTGCTGCACCCCAGCTGCTCACACAAATCACATCCCCCAAGGAATCGCAGTGGGGGACACACCCTACCAGCCTCCTGGGGGGTGGTGAGGAGCTGTGGGGGGCCCTGCACTCCCTTCCTTGTCCGCTGTCCCTGCCCACCTCAGCCTCAGGCTGGAATTTAGTTCTGTTCTCTATCCCTGTCCCTCCTTGCATTGTGCACGGCAGGGACCCCCCAGGGGCAGGTTCCCTCTCCCTGCAGGGTTCCCAGGGCATGGGACTGCCCCGGGCAGTGTCCGGATACCCGAGTAGTAGGAACAGGAGGTGTGATGAAACTGGGCAGGAGGCAGGAGGCAGGAGGCTTCAACCAAGGCATGGAGATGGGGGAGGAGAGGAGGGTTGCCTTCTTCCAAATTCATTGCCCTGCTGACCCCATCTGTGCTGGAGCCAGCTGGAAACAGCCTCTGCAGTGCTCAGAGGCCCTGGGGAAAGCATCTGTGCAGTCGTGTCGCTGCTCCTGGAAGGCAGCACACTCTGACTGCATCCACTCTCACCTCTGCTGTGCCAGCTCATGAGGAGTTTTTTCTCCAAATATTCTCAAGGATCTTTTCTCCATCTTTTCAGCTTCTTTCTTTATAAAAATGTGACTCCCAGATGTGGGCAACTCTCCCGTGCAGGGTTCCCCAGTGCTTCCTGTAGAAGAGCTGCTGCCAGCTGCCGCTCTGACTCCTCAGGGTGAATCCAAGGACAACATTGCTACATTTTGTTTGGAAATTCATGATCTCTGACCCACGGGTGAAAATTAGAGACCACCTTTACAGTCAATGTCTCTGCTGCATCTGCAGTCCTGTCCAAAGGGCAGGACTAACAATACTTGCTTCTACTTTCATGGCTCTACACTGACTGTCCTAAAATACTACTTATTAAACAATCCAAGTGATTTCGCACCATTATTTGCTGTCTCACAGATTTTGTCATCAGTCATTGTTTCCAGAGCAATGACAGGAATGCTGAAGTATCAACCGCATTGCAAATCCTTTTATCCCTGTAGGAATACCCACATCCCACAGCAGTTCTTCACTACCAGGTCTGGAGACCAGCAATGGCCACTGAGCATGTGCTTTACTCATTTTTATACCTCAGATTAACTTGCAGCTGTACACAGTAAGCATTTCCCCAGCCCGTGTTATAGCTGTGCAGTTACTGCTATCAAATCAATATCAGCTTTCCTAAAGGAAGAATTTAGTTTGTTTGGCAGTTCTGTGATCAGTGGCACAAATTGCATATTCCTAATACCCGATTTCCTCCTTTATGAAATTCCCTATTATCTTTCCCACCACCGAGACTGATGCCTCACCTCGAGGCAGAGGAAATTTCCAGCCGGTTCAATGCTGCTCCCCTGAAGTCTCCAGGTTTTACACTGACTTACTCCGGCCGTAGGAGGAATTACAGCATTGACCGGCACGGGGGCACCGCACCAACACCCGCCCCGTGCGGTGCCAGACGTGAAGAGCAGGATCACATTTTACACTTACTAATTGCAAACAGGCAACAGTGGTCAGTTCCTGAGCCAAACCGTGGCTGAGAATGTTGCCATGATAAGCCAGGAGGCAGTGAAAGGCAAAGCAGAGACCATTCCTCACTGCAGAGTCTTCTCAAGGATCAGCTGGTGGATGTGGTTGTACTCACCATGTACACGGCTCCCACCCTGGGAAAGCCCTGCATGCACCCATTGCCTTCAGAGGATCAAAGAGCCCGAGGACACAGTGAGAGGGGGATCCATGCAGTGACAACATCTGTGCTGGCTGAGCCTGGCTGCTGGGAATTGTGATCCGGGCTGTTCCTGGTGCCAGGACAACAAGGATGGTGGGAGGCATGACCTGAAAGGGAAGCAGGCATTTTTCAGATCTCTGCAACCGTGCCAGGAAAAAGAGCCTCTGGAGACAAAAAATGAGTGGAGGCACAGAGGGAAGAGGCTGCCTCCTGAGCATGGTCATCCCAGACTCCTGGGCAACACAGGAGGAGCTCAATTGCTGCACTCCTTCTTCTCGCTGCAGGGAACTCCAGGTTTCCAGGAGGAAAGAGTTTTTGTACTCCAAATAACATTTCAAAGTCTGCCTTTTTCCTTTGTCTTCTCTGCTATGTGTCCTGCTGTGGCCAGGTCTTGGCTTTATTATTCTATTGCCATCACACCCACCAGGATCCAGGTCTGTATAGCCCACTCCAGAACAGTTTCTCACCAGACAACCTACTGCAGATGCACCTGGTAGGCAACATGGAATGAAGTCAAACCTGTGCAGACTAAAGGTACAGATGCAACTCTGACTTGCACCCTTTGTCCCTTCAAGACAGCATTCGAGCCCCTTGGGGTGGGCAAACCCACACCATGTGAGTCCAGCAAGGCCCTCAGCTCCGTGTGTGGAGGAGTGGGAATGCCACAGTGACACTGAAAAGGGTTAAGTATGACTGGAAGTTTGTGCCAACAGCACAGCAGGGTCGGTGTGGAGCTCCACGCCAAGCACTGCAAGAGTTAAGGCGAGATGGGGCCATTTTCCTTCTCTCGTGGAGCACATCATAACCTCCCTGGGTTTCACTGCTTTCTCAAGCAACGGGCCACAGCTTCCTGAGAGGGTCTCACGGCTGTAAAGGGGCTGTGCAGCCCACAAGCCCCTCGTCTGCTGAGCCCCTGCGGTGTTACACAACAGCCATTTTGCTTCTGCAGTTTCTTCCGAGTGCATGTGGGCAACGTGGGACACAGGCAAAATGGTTTCCATGACAACTCACACTTCAGAGATGCCAGTGAGAAAATTTGCATTGGGGGAAAAAATATTCTGCTTCAACTCACGTTGTGAGTGAGCACAGAGGTGGGCTGCAGCAGTATCCCAGAACTGGTGGGGTAAAAATATCCCTGGTGGCTTTGGTTCTGCAGCGCTCAGCTTGTTCCCTGCCTGGGCTGCCTGTGGCGTTCGTCCCATGCAATGACAAAGCAACACCCTGTCACCACCTGCAACCTCTTTGCTGTTTTCCAAAAAGGCCAAAGCAGCAGCTCTGGGGAGCAATGTGCTGCTCTGACCACCTCACCCCTCTGGACCTGGAACGGGACAGATGTGGCCCAGGAGTGAAACTCCAACCCCTTCAGCCATGGAGCTGGACTGTCCTCCAGATGTTGGCCCCTGGCTGCTGCGCCTCCATTTCCTTAAGGGAGGCTAATGGTAGCCCAACAGCAGGTAGATGATGAGAACCCCAAGAAATCTCCTCAGCAGAGAAATCTTAAGGTCATATCCCAGAGTAATATGGAATTTAATGGAGGGAAATGGCTGGTTGCCCTGTGAGCTAATGTCTGGAAGAGTGGTGGCTCTGTCTGGAGCGACAGAGTGAAGCCAAGGAACCAAGCTGAGCATCTGCTGAACATCTCTGCCCTGGAGTTGTGTTGGTCAAGGGAGGGTTGTCCAGCACTGGAGTGAACACAGACCGTGATGGTGTCCACGTCACACACAGCTGTCCTCAGTCAGCACTGGGGGACCGTGTTGTTCAGAGGTGCTGCATAACTGGTAATACTGGTATGGAGAACAAAACTGCAGACCCTCTTTCACACCCAGTCTTGTGTGGTTATGCCTGGAGAAGCCCCTGGTTTGCTCAATGGCCAGTGCGTCCACACCTCCGATGTCTCCCACGGCACTCTCCGACCCCAAATGGGTATTGTGGTGAAAAGGAGAGAGCGGGACCCCCAGAGCTGCCCCCACCGCAGCCGCAGGGTCAGCCTCGGACGAGCTCTGCATCCCCCGCACCAGCGACACCCGCGGAGGTGCCGGACCCACCCCGACCCCGCAGCCGCCCTCCGGGCACCGGGGGCAGCGGGACCCCGTTCTCTGCGAGGGGGTGCCCACAGACCCCGCACCAGCCCCGCTGCGGTGGGGGGGCTCTGCCGCAGCGCCCGGGGCGGGCGGGGGTCCCGGGGGCGGGCGAGGGGCGGGCGCTGCGGCAGCGCGGGGCGGAGCGGGGCGGCGCGGGCGGTTCAGCACCAGGGAGAGCGCCCGCACCGCTCCGCACCCCCCGCGCCGAGCCGGGCCGGGCCGCGCCGGGGCCGCGGATGGGGCCGCGCTGAGCCGGGCGGGCGGCCCGCGGGCCGGGCGGGCGGGCGGGCGCGGGGGGCCCGGCGGGCTCCGGGCCGCCCGTGGATGAGCACCATGCGGCTGCTGCTGCTCGCCCTCCTCTTCTCCTCCTCCTTCGCCCGCGCCGGCTGCGACCCCAAGATCGTCAACATCGGCGCGGTGCTGAGCACCAAGAAGCACGAGCAGATCTTCCGCGAGGCGGTGAACCAGGCCAACAAGCGGCACGGCACCTGGAAGCTCCAGCTCAACGCCACCTCTGTCACCCACAAGCCCAACGCCATCCAGATGGCCCTGTCCGTCTGCGAGGACCTCATCTCCAGCCAGGTACCCCGGGACGGCGACCCTCCCCCGCCGCCCCGCCACCCCCGCGGCCGCCCCGTCCCGGCCCCCCGGAGCCCCCCGGAGCCCCCCGGCCGAGCCGCGCCGTGCGGGTCCTGCCCCGGGGCCTGGGTCGCGCTGCCCGCATTGCAGCCTTTATGTAAGAGCGGCCGACTGCGCGCTCCGAGCACCCCCGGGACACTCACGGGCACCCGCACACACCCCGGGGCACGCACGGGCACCCGCACACACCCTGGGGCACACACAGGCATCCACATGTTCCCCAGGGCACACATGGGCACCCAGGTACACTCTGGGGCACACACAGTCACCTGCACCCCCGATCGGGTGTACACAGACACCCACATACATCCCGGAGCACACACAGGCACCCACACCCCCTCCAGGTGCAGATGGCCACGCGCACACCCCCCAGGGCTCACACGGCTCCCATACAACACCTCAGAGTATACATGGGCTCACACACGCACCCCAGGGTGCACATGGGCATCCACACACCCCTGGGGCACACACAGTCTTTCTCTCTCTCTCTCTCTCTCACACCCCTCAGGACACACAAGGGATCACACACACACCCTGGGCATGCACAGAGTGGGTGCACATACATGTCCACTCAACACCACGTGTGCACATACACCACACACAGACACACCATGGGCACACACAGGCACATAGAGGGCTGTGAGCATGTATGGACATCCACACACTGTGGGGAGGTGTGGGCATGGGGAACACCATCCATGCACACTCACCGTGCACACACTGTGGGAATGCCCACGGGCTGCACACACACATGCCATGAGCACACGTGCATTGCTGTGCAAACACGGGCACACACAGACCATGCATGTCTGCACTCACACCAGTGTGCAAACGTGCTGTGCCACACATATCCACACCTCCATGTGCACACAGGAGCACACACTGAGCCACATGCACACGACACCCCAATGTGTGCCCTACACAGACACGCAGACATACACACAGACACACAGACATACACACAGACACACAAACATACACACAGACACACACAAACATACACACAGGCACACAGGCACACAGACCCACAGTGATTCATGTACACACCTCCCCCCCCACACTCCCCCAGGTCATACACTGCTGCACCCCCCATGGCACACAGCACCATGGCCCCCCACACCACCCAGTGGTGCACACCAGCACACCCACTGCCACCCCCCCAGGACACAGGGATTACAGACATGGTGAGTGCTGTGTGTGACTGTGCACATAAGCACAGCATGATCCTCTCTCCTGTCTACATGGCTTGCTCTCAGCAGACCCAAGGGAGCAGTCCCAATCCTCAGCGGTGCTGGGTGCCCAGGGTGCCCCGGGCAGCCCGTGGCCTGGCCTCTCCACCTCCCCTGCATGAGCTCTGGGTGCTGAGCCCAGTTACCAGCCCCAGTACCGCCACTTGGGGCCACCGGAGGGGCAGACAGGCAGGTACAAACCCACCCCCTCCTCCAACACACCCATGCACATGCAAAAGGTCTACATGGACCCATGTGCAGGCGCAAACACACCCCAAATTGTATGAATGCCCTCACCACGGAGCCTCACACAGAAATGCACCCAGGTACACGCAGCCGGGAGGGGAGGGAGCTGGAGGGGCCGGAGGTGCGTAGTGGAGAATAGCTGACACCTTCGCAGCTCGGCTTCCCAGCGTGGAGGCGGAGGATGGCTGGAGACATGCCTGGGATGGTGGCCGAGCCGGGCGGCGGAGCAGCAGGGGATGTACCAGATCCCCGCTGTCCAGCGGCAGCCGGAGAAGGCTCAGGCGGGTCCCTCACTGAGCCGAGGCTCCATTTACTGCTCCCAGCTGATGGATGCCTGTGTCCGTGCCACCTCTAAGCCTTGTCCCCATGGCAAACCGCACGGAGCCCGGGGCTGGCGCTGGCACATCCCTGCGTGAGCGGCGGGATGGGGAGGCAGCTGAGCCGGGGCGCAGGGGGGGCTGTGGGTGCTGGGGGTCAGGGTGCTGGGGGTGGGCTCTCTGTCCCAACACCCAGAGGTTCTCCCAGCCCCAGGGGCTTAGGGCACCGCCATCCTCGGTCCTCGCTCGCCGGCGCTGTGCCCGAGCAGGGGGGCTGCGAGGCTGAGGAGGGGCTGGGAGCCCGCCAATGTAAAATGGCTCCCGTCGAGCCGCTGCTGTGCGGCATAGCACAGTACAACCCTGGCCCCCACACAGCCCCCAGCCCCTGCCCCCAGGGCCTGGTGCTATCCCAGTGCCGTGCCCCAGCTCTGCTGGGTGCAGGTCCTCACCCACCCCGAGTCAGCGCGGCACCGGGCAGCTCTGCGCTGGACAACCCCTCCTCCTGCCTCCCCAGGATCCCCCCAGCTCCTTCTCTAGCAATTCCTCCCTTCTCCCACGGTAAGATCTCCAGCCCCTGCCCCAGCTCGCTCTGCACCCTCAACTTGCTCCCACACAATGCCAGGCGTGATCGTCCCTCTTCCCCTAGACCCCAGGCCCCCTTCCTCAGGACACTTCATCCTCCTCTCCTGTCCAGGCGACCTGTCCCTCCAGCCTGGGGCTCTGGCAGATGCCTGGGGGAAGAAGAAGTGTTATTTCCTCCCAGACATCAAAATCCTTGCACAGATTCACCCTCGCTGGAGACCTGTCACCGGCCGGGGACATTCCTTGTGCTGTGAGAGGGCATTGGTGTAACAAAAGATCCCCCAGAGATTACCCATCTCCTTCCTTTCCGTTTGACACAAAATAGGATCCTGCTGGAGACCGAAGTCCCAGCCCTGCTATAACAGCAGGATTTTGCCGAGATCGTCCTTCCCCAGATCCCCTCCCCCTGGCATGCTGAGGGCAGATCCCAGCTCCTGCCCCCCCAGTACTCTCATTTCTGTGCCCAGGGCCAGATGGCTGATTCGCTCCGTGGCTCTGCGCTCCCGCCGCAGTCCCAGCTGACCACTTTGTTTGTAATAGTCCTCAGAGGGGAATTACAACTGAGTATTAAATGTGTGGTTAAAGAAATCACATTACACAGTGTGACTGCAAGGGAGATGTTTCCCTTTAATCTGTAATCCATGGAAGTTATTAGTTTACTGAGCAGAGCTGGTAGGCACGGCATTTCCATTAGGATATAACCCTGAGCAGACCCATCACCTCCAGTCACAGCACAGCTCCCAGCACAGTCCTTGCTTCCCTGTTCCCAGTTACCTCAATGCCGTTATCGTGTTAACATGGGGCTGTTTAACATTGCAGAAAAGAAAAGGAAAAAAAAATCATGCTGGACAGCTGATGTGCTCCTGTGAAATAATGTTTGTGTCATGTATCCTGTCCTGCAGGTCTATGCAATATTAGTTAGCCACCCTCCTGCTCCCAACGATCACCTAACACCAACACCTGTATCATACACAGCTGGCTTCTACAGGATCCCTGTCATTGGTCTGACAACACGCATGTCTATATATTCTGATAAGGTAACTGATGCATGTTTCTAGTCTAGTACCTCATACATGTGCTGTAAATCAAGAGTGCCCATCAGGAGGGTTAATGATGCCAACACTCTGTGTCTGTCTGTCCACCCTCTCCAGCTCAGCCTGCAGCTCCCTCTCTCTCTCCTGCATTCCCCAGTACATTATTTTTTCACAGCTGCCAGTGTTGACCTACATAGTGCCGGATGATTTCTGCAGCACGGCTCTGCCAGGCTGCTGGGCTTGCTGCTCTTCAGCCAAGCACAGGCATAGCTGGTTCCTGCCCTGCTCACTAGTGACAGCCAGGGGGTCCAGGGGGCTCCCCGGGTGTGTGTGAGCCTGTGGAGGGGCAGGAGAATCCTATTAGAGCCTGTACATTGGGCAGGAGCTCTCTGGGGCTTGAAGGTTGTTCGGTTGCATTCACTTCTCTGGGTTTATGGGATATTGGTAGGGAGATCACATGACACTCAGTCCAGCCAGCACTCAAGACAGAGGTTCAAATTCCAATGTCTCAAACCACTACAGCTGTCTCTGTGGGCCCACAGAGGCTTCCAGACTGGATGAGGGTCTGGGGGCAGTGCCCGGCCCTGGGCAATGAGGTGCTGCCCTGGCCCTCAGCTCACAGCCCATCTGTGATTAGTGAAAGCAAAGGGAGGAGCTGAGCAGAGCCAGACCATCCACGTGCCATTGCAGGATTCCATGCAGGCACACAAGCTCAGTGGGTGAGATCAAGCCTGTTTCAAAGCATGAATCGGCCTTTGCTTGGAAAATGTGAATATTCACAAATGTAAATGTTCTGTGCAAAAATAGTCACTCCGCCTACATGCTAAATGAAGTCAAATTTCAGGAGGGAGGAGCAGAGGCTCCTAGAGATGCACCAGCAGCACTGCTCAGCTGGAGAGCAGCAGCTCTTGGCATCTCCCACCAGTAAAGCCATGATAGGATGGACACCAAGCCAAGACCACAGCAGTGACTGTGATGGTGGCTGGCTGGGCTGGGGACCTGCATGGGCAGGGTCCCACTGGGTTAGAGGGAAAGGGATAGCAACAGACCTGACAGAGCAAGGGAGAGGGCAGGCAGCAATTGTGCAGGGAGAATTTGCTTCGTGCTGCTGTGGAGTGGAAATACGTCTGATGGAAATGTCACTGAGAGAGACCCTGTCACAGGGGCCAGGAGGGCAGGGAGAGGGGACCCTGCACACTGTGGGGCCTGCTCCATCTCTGCAGGGCTGTGCTCACCAAAGCAAACCACCTGTCCACAGCACAACCTGGGGCAGGATTGGCGTGCCCACCCCAAGGGGCTGGGACCTGCCCTGGCACTCTGCTTCTGACAGATTTTTCCTATTTCAAATGTTTTCTGCAAATCTGGCTCATAAAATGCACCTGACTCACTTCAGGGCTGGAGGAGCAACCCACTGTACTGTCAGGAAATGCTCTCCATGGAGTATTTTGGGGAGTTCAGCCAGTGCAGGGCTGTCGGCTGCGCTTGCCTGGCACAGACTGAGCAGGGAGGCCACCCTGCCTGTACCAGGCTCAACTCACCCCTCTGAGCAGTCCTGCCTGTCTGGCCTCCTGCTTGGCACCTGCCCATCCAGGCAGATGGGGGCCTGGGGGCTTGGAGCTCTCTGCAGAGGGTGGAGATGCTGGCAGGAGATGGGGCAAAGGCAGGGACTGGGGAGAGGAGCACAGGATGTTGAACAGTGGAAGGGACAGCAAAGGTGGGAGTGAAATGGGGGACAGAGGGGTGTGAAGCCCTGGGACAGGCTCTGCTCACCCCATGTAGGACAGGCTGGCTCATGTGACACAGGACATTCAACTGTTCCCTTTTTGGTTTCCAGTGATCAGCTTGGTTTTTGGGTTACTTTTTAAATTCAGTAAATTATATCTTTCAGCTTAGTTTCTATGGAAACAAGCTTGTAAGATCACTTTGTATGTACGCCCCTGATTGGTTTTGAAGGCGTCAGGCAATTTTAGCTAAATTTCACGGGGGGTTGAAGTGGAGTTAATTATGGTCCTCTGCAGGCTATGCTGCCAGGGGGAGGAGAGGTGTGGGCCTCAGCACAGACAGGTTTGCCCAGTACCTTTTGATGCTCCCAGAGCATCTCCAGTCGAGCACAGTGGTCCAGGAGCTGTAGCCAGTCTACCAACAAAGATACCCCAGGGAAGGGAGCTTTATTGCTCCCAGTATCCAACCAACTATTTGTTCTAGAAGTGGTATTGCATCTGAATGCTCTGGCTTGGTAGCCTTTGGCCCCCTTGTACATACATCTTATGAAATCATTGCCTGTTCCTTCACCAAGATCCTCACTCCATCCAGCATAGTCCTGCCTGTACACTGAGGGGTCTCTGGAATCCCAGTCACCTCAGAGTGAGGTGAGCAGGGAATTGGAGGAGGAAAGGGGGCTCTCATGGTAAAGTGATCAGAGCAGTCCCCATGGCTGTGGTGTCCATCACTGTGGAGAGCCCTCCATGGAGATCTCATGGACTGAGCATTGCAAAAATCACACTCTGGCCTTCCCCTACTGGGCCCCCTGCATGGACAGGCTGGACTGTGCTTTAGTGCTCCTGCTCCCATGTGTCATTGGGGGTGTTTATACTTCCTTTGCATTCCAGCTGAAAAAATGAGATGACACAGACATCTTGGCAATATGAGAAATGTGAAATGACATGGAGAGTGTGAGAGCAAAGCTTGTGGGGAAATGCACAGCTCAAGAGCCAGGAAGAGCTGGTGCTGTTCATCATCACCATGTGGAACGTGATCCCCACCTATGTGGTGGGAATGAAGGGACATCCTGGGTGCCCAGAGGTGCTGAGCCCCACACCATACCCTAATCCGAGAGCTATTGCAGTGGAGGATCAAGGGGTTTTAACCGAGACTTGCTCTGTGGTGAAAGAGATGGAAAATGGAGTTTAGTCATCGTGCACTTGGAGAGCTATTTCAATTCCAGCACCTGGTCCTGGTAGTTGCAATGAGGTCTATCTCTTTCTCTCTCTCTTCAGCCTGGGATGGCTTTTACCTCTGGTTCCTGGTCTCACTGTAACCACTCCATGCCTGGAAGTGAGGCACTGCTCACTGAGAGGGGTACTTTTCTCTGTTACTGGTCTCACTGGCAACAATGCTCAGCAGAAACCTTCTTAATCAGAGTGGGAAGCTGCACTGGAAGTGGGGAAAAAGCAATTCCCCTTGACCAAGGTCAGGATCAGAACTCCTTCACCTGTAAGCAATGACTGGAGAGGCTGTTTAGTGTAACACAGAGTTGTTTGCCCCAGGAATGGGCAGCCCAGCCATCAGCAGAGTAGCTCAGCCCTCAGCAGGGCAGCACAGCCCTCAGTCAGGCAGCCTGGAACGTTCCAGAGCAGACCAGGCTAGAGCAGTGCTGGGCTGATGGAGCCCGCTCATCCCAGTGGAGGAGAGCTCTTCATAGGCTCTCAGGATTCCAGCTGGGAGAAGGACAGACACCCCCCACTCCACAGTGGCCATTCCCCAGAGGCTGCCACGTCCCTTCCTCCGTGCTCTGCAGGGAAAGGCAGGCAGTGCATTTGAGTCTGAGCTGCCCACACCCCTGTCCCCACTGAAATCCCTCCCTGCACACGTCTGAGCTGTCTCAGAGTTGTCTCAGCTCCCTCCCACGTCCACAGCCGTCACGTGGGGCAGTGGGCAGGCTCCTTCCATGGGGACACTGGCCACCGCTTCTTTTTCATACCCAGCTGGGGATTTTTACTAAATTTTCCTGAGCTTTATAGGTTGAGATCTCTGTCAATCTCTTTGAAACTGCCCAGCTCATTTTGGGAGTGAATTGCTAGAAGGGAGACTGAGCACATTTCCATAGGAAGTGAAACTAAAGCACGTTGCCTACTCAAGCCTCTGAAGCTTTCATTTTTCTTTAGTTTTCTGTAGGAAAAATAACTCCCTCAGCCATGGACCATGAGCTGGGACGAGCCCTTAGGCAGGCAGAAGTAAGAGGATAGCAAACCTTTCACTCAGGGACCTGTATGTGGTCCTGATGTGGGCACACAGCCGTGGTGGCCTCCAGCCATGCCCTGTGCACATCCCCTACAGATACAAACTCCATCAGCAGGCACCTACACGTGCCTCTTCCCCCAGGCAGAGCATGGCCACGTGCAGACTGTGCACAGGGATTCCAGCACCCAAGCACTTTCCCTGCAGGGGTACCTGCACTCACATGCTCTCTGCATGGACGTGCTCACGTTTGTGCACACACAGAGCCCCGGCTTTCACACACACCAACAGCTCCTCTTTGTGTGTACTCACATCAACCAAGTCAGGACAACTAATAATTTGCAGTTCTTAAGTCCTGACCCCACATAGAATCATCATAGAATCCTAGAATAGTTTGTGTTGGGTAGGACCTTAAAGACCATCTCATCCCACACCCCTGCCATGGGCAGGGATACCTTCCACTAGCCCAGGTTGCTCCAACCCCCATCCAACCCGGCCTTGGACACTCCCAGGGATGGGGCAGCCACAGCTTCTCTGGGCAACCTGTGCCAGGGCCTCAGCACCCTCACAGAACTTGCCATGAATTATTCTTCATTTTCCTATCTAAAAACCACAATTCTGTAATCCAGGAGCTGAGATACCATCAGGGCAAGTCCATGGCCCTTTTGACACCACCTCGGAAAGCAAATTTCCCTGAACTGTTAAACCAAGTTGCCCCCAACAACCTTGCAATAAATTATTCATCTGAACCAAGTGATATGTATTTACAATACTTAAGGAAGCCATGATCAGTTTAAACACCATTTTTACAAGCTAATGGGAAACTAGAAAATAATTTGATGCAATATACTGAAATCTCAGAGATTTTTTAATTTCAAAAATGGATTGAATGCATTTTGTTAGAATTCTGATTTTTTTTTTAGCCTGTGTTTTGCTGATTTTTTTTTTAATATTAGTTTTTCTGGGTTTTTTTCCCAACTCTTTTCTGATCTTTTTTTTCCCATTTTCATTTTCCCTGGATTTTCTTAAAGCAATTAAAAGTGGTCAGGGGTTAGAAATTAGAAATGCTCAGATCCATCTTGTGCATCCCTGGCCCAAGCTGTGGAGCAGGACCTGGAAACTCCTGGGCATCTCTGCTGACTCCAAACAGATCTTGAACACTGTGTTGGTGTGGAGACTGTGGTTGTTCTTCCATCGTTTGTCTCTTGGGGCTTCTTCCCAATCCAATGGATTAGGGCTGGGCTTGTGGGGTGAGCTGCATTTCTGCTGCTCTTCCCAAAACTGTGAATATTTGTATCAGCTCTGAGATGTTTGTATTAGCTCTGAGATGCTTGTTGTGGCTCTCCTGGTTTGCTTCCTCCTTTGTTTAAACATCCGCAGTTGTCCTCAGTGGCTTGGTGGTTTTGCTGCTGCCTCCATCGTTCCTGTGTGTTGGGCCAGGGCAGGGGCAGGGGTTTGAAGCTATTTTCTACAGATTTCATGGTTTGGTTTGACATTAGCACCATGTTGGGTGTGAGAAAAAGGCTTTATTTGGTGTGTCTGTTCCTCCTGTATGGGTCCATGGGGGACATGATTCCTTTTCCCTTCCAGTGTGATTTACTTTGGCCCCTTCAGGACATTTCTGACCCGTGCTGGGTCTGGTCTCTCGGTGAGCAGTTCTGGACAAGACCTGTTTGGTCCAGACAACCATCTCAGCCTCAAAGAAAGAAATATTATGGTGCTTTCCTTTCTGTCCTCTCTGGTTCAGAATTCTGCCCCCCTCCAGCATGTAGCTGGGTTGCCAAGTAAGGGCCCTGCTGAGCATGAGCACTTTGACTGTCTAATATTTGACTGTAGGGCCTTTTGGAAAAGCTGCATTTGTTTGAGAGCTCTCTGTCAGCTACAGCTTTTGGTCCAGTTGCTCCCCTAACAGTGCTGTACTTAATTAGGCTGGAATTGCTATTGCACAATCATCCAACCATAACGATGTCTTTAACCAAATCAGAGAGGTCAACTGGGACATGAGTCCAGAGCTGCCTCCTCCTGTGGAACAGGCTGACCTAGAAACAGTCAGAGACCATGTTATAAAACTGCTTTTCTGAACTTCTCTCATGACAAATAACTAATATATAGCTGCCTGTACCTGCCTCTTGCTCCTCTCTAAAGGGAATTCAAGTTCTTTGTGATGTCTGTTGCGCAGTAACAATTTTGAAAAACCAAGAGGCAAGGCTATATTTGCACTGAACACTGCTGGCCCTTCATGGTTCGATAGGCTTTTCTTCGCTGTGGACCACAAAGCAAAAAACCCTCTTTGCCATGCTCTAGATTAACCACAGAGAGGTACAAAATCACAACCAGGATTTGCTTCTCAAGCAGAAGGAAGGAGTGCAGGTTAGCACTAGAGGTGTGCTCAAGGTGTGCAACCCAGAGGTCTTCCCAAAATGGCTTTGTGATCCCAGCCCTGTCCCTGCAAACCTGGCTGACAAGCCCACAGTCTGTGTTGAGCTCTTGTTCTTCCTTGCAGAGCATCCACCTGTCCTTTTTGCGCACGGTCCCTCCATACTCTCACCAGGCCAACGTCTGGTTTGAGATGATGAGAGTCTTCAACTGGAACCACGTCATTCTGATAGTCAGTGACGACCACGAAGGTCGTGCTGCACAAAAGAAGCTGGAGACCCTCTTGGAGGAGAAAGAGTCCAAGGTCAGTTCCTGAACATTGTCTTGTAGCTTTGTTTAAGCAACAACAAAACTAGAAGTCTCGGGCTGTTGTATGTATGTAGATTTCTGTATGTAAAACACCTTTTCTTTCCATTGTAACATGGCTAACATGCTTAAAGCATCAACAGTGTCTGACTAGTACCTGACAGAACTTTGTACTTTATTCATTTCACTTGCTTTGCCATGGTCAAAATCTCCTACATGTAAATCGACTACAAAATGAAGGGAAGGATAACCTGGAGCTCTGCAAATGCCTCGCCCAAGATTCCCACCTAAGGAGAGGACCAGTCGCTCAGCTTAGGGAAGCACCTGCCCCATTACAGCCACCCCGGGGCCAGGCAGACCCAGCAGTGCCAAACCAACCCTGAAAAGCAGCTTCTGAATTGGCTTCCCGGGGCTCACCTTAGAGGCTTAGGAGGGGCCAGGCAGCCGGTGTGTTGCTGCCCCGAGGGGCACAGCACCCTCTGTGTAGAGCCGTGGGCCGCAGGCCGCGCCCGTTCCCATCTCCATCGAAGCACATGCCAAACGCTGCTTTCCTGACACCCATTGCTGGTACAAGAGGGCGGTTGTGGCTTTATGGAGGAGGTGCACTGCACCTACACTCAGGGCCAGCAGGGAGCAGGGAGGGAGGTCCCCAAGCCTGCTAGAGATTCAGGAGGACAACCACAGACCTGCGGTGTGGAGTGAAAGGACCAAGCTAACGTTCCAGACAAGCAGGGAAGGAGAACACAGGAGCTGTTTGGCTGCAATCTGGAAGACAAGGAACCACCTCGTGCCCTACAGAGTGAAGTCCCAGCATGTTCTCTTGCCTGGGGCAGGGTGAGTCCCCTTCGGGTGTGCAGACACTGAGCCCATCCAAGTCTCCAGCAGCATCAGGGCAGGAACCAATTCAGGGCTGTTCCGTCCTGGGTCACAGGCAGGGACCTCAATCTACTCTTCTCCAGCCCCACCAGCAGCTGCTGGACCTTTGGCAGTCAGTCAGCTGTTGAGGAGATGTGGCCACAGACACTTCTTGTGCTTGGAGCTGGTGACTCAGCTGAGAGATCAGAGAGAGCAGCCTGTCACTGCTCTTCATCACCTCCCTGGTGAACAACTGGTGCAGGGTTGCAGGCTGGCACAAGCCACACTGAACAACAGGCTTTTGGTTTTGGCGGTGATTTCCGAGGAGTCTCATCCTTGCTGCATCCTGGATCATTGTGAGACACTGACGTGCCACCAGCTATGGTGGGATCCTCCTGCCTCCCAAGACAATTTCCTGCTGGGTGACAGTGGAATATATTTCACTCCAAAGCCTCTTCCCAGCACAATGTCACTCATCCAAGGAGAGCCATTGTCAGTCTCGCATTCCTTTCCTTGCATCTTTTGATTTCCACTTTCTGCTTTCCTACAGTTCCTCTGTGTTCCCTTTTGCTGCTCCCTCTCGTGACTCCACTCCTTGCTTGCTCCATGTGATGCTCCCAGGCACAGGGTGCATTTCTTCTTCACCCTATCCATCACATGGGAAAGATTTTAGATCTGGAGCTTGAAAGATGGGGAGCAGGGGATGTGCTCAGACCTGCCCCACATTTGCACTGCATCTATAACATGTCTTGGCAGCCACTGGGCTGCTGCAGATGCCCTGGCCACTCTCCAGCCTGAGACACCTGCTCTGTGGTGGTAGGTCACTTTGTCTTCCTTTTGGGGCGTGTCACTGCATCTTGTTTCTGTTTTCCTTGCAAAAAAGGTCAAACAGACAGGTCTGACTGGTCTTGAAGGTGGTAGATAGCCTGCTGGGGCTTTCCTATCTTCCTTAATCTCTTCTTCTAATTCCTTTTCTGGTTACTGATGTGCTGACTCTCTTCATGCCATGAAGGGGTACCTTGGGCCCCTGCCCAGCCTCCTCAAGGGCAGCCTGGCCCTGAGGAGGGAGCAGGCAGGAGACCTGATCTCGACCTCTGCAAGGCTTGGGTCACAGTCCCTGAGGTCCTGTCCTCAGAGACTCCCCTGCCCACTCGAGCTCTTGGATTGGAGCATGGCTGTGTCCCCCACAGTCTGCACTGTCCCTGGGTGTCACTCAGGCACCACTGTGTGGGTTTGCACTTCCACCAGGCACTCCAAGCCCAGCACTCAGGCCATGCTGGCCAGTCCTGGCACACCCCATGTGCTCGCCTTGTCTTAGGTCTGTCTGCTCCACCCCAGCCCAACTCTGCTTGTTCGTCTGGGCAGGCCACCAGTGCTGCTCAGGATCAGGAGGGAGTGTTGGACACTGTGAAATCAGTTTGTCCAAGTCAGAGGTGGCAGATCCATGGTGTGCTGGGTCTCTTTCTCTAGGACAGTGGCAACTTTTTTAATGAATGCTTGAGAACCTGGTGGAAATTTTAATTTGTGGGTCCCTGTGTGAAACATGAGCTGAAGAGCAGGGAAGGGCTGCAGGACCACATGGAAAAATGGGGGGGAAAAAAGACACATTATTAGTCTAGTTCTGTAGGGATAGTGACAGGGAGAGGTGATCAGGTGCCAGCTTTGCTGCACCCAAGACTCTGCTGACCAGCCTGGATCGAGGTGCATATCCCAGGCACACAAGGCTATTCATGTCTGGAGGCTGCAAGAGGGATGACCAAGTTTTTGGCTACACTGACAGTGCCTAAGGAGAAATGACCAGTGTCCCATCACTGGAGAACATTCATGCTGTCCTACACCTCTGTTCTCCTTGAAGGCAGTTGTTACCCCAGGTCTCACTGCAATCTCAGCAGTCTCTAAGAAGCCACTGCAGAAATCCTGGCTGTGGATGTCATCAGAAGTGAAGGCAGACCTGGGCTCCAAGCAGATTTTGCCTCCTCAGATACTTTGCCTTGCAAGGACTCAATTCCTTTGAGCAATGAAAACCTGCCAGGCTGTGTCCAAGGAGAAGAAAGCAAAGATCACATGGCTGCACAGAAAGCAGACCTGGAAAATGTCCTGCCAAAGATTGGCCCGAGTGCTCAGGAAAAGGCAAGCTACTTAGTTTGGAAAGCGAGACACAGAGATAAAACCTGGCTGTCTAAGAAACAACCTGGGAACATGAACCTTTGCATTCCAGGGGTGCAAAGGGTCTGGTTCCTGTCAGGGATCAGTTGCCATTGCCATAAAGTTCTGGAAAAATGAAGATCAGAATAGAGCTGTGTCCCATACCCCGTATACATAGATCAGGAATACTCAGCAGGGGTGGGGTGGGGTCAAGAAGAAGAGGTCAGACACTGTCCCACCAAAACCTGCCAAGCCGTCTCCTGAAGGCATTGTCAGATCGCTGTTGTTGGCCTGACCAGGTGGGCTGCTCGCAGGAAGATCCACGGGGCTCTGTGCACGCTGTTGCAGGGTCACGGCTCCTGAGAGCAGAGGCTCTTGGCCCTCAGCACACTGCCTGGAGAAGAGGAAACCTCCAGAAGCAGGTTTCATGCCTTGGGCTCCTTTGGGGCCAAGCAGCAGAAGTGGCTCAGGTAGGAGACAAGGGGAGGAGCAGGTTCTCTGTCCGGTCTCTCGTCTCCAGGGTCAGAGCATGCTGAGCCCCCTGTCCTGAGCCCCAGTGCTGCTCTGGTCAGCAGCGTGGAGACCACCAAGCAGTGAGCCCCACTAGCCACCTGTAGGACCAGGTTATGGGCACTGTGGTCTTGGGTAGCTGCACCTCCCAGGGCCACCCTTGTGCCACAGAGCCATGAGGTGCCCTTGGCCCTCCCCAGGCACCAGGTAAAAGCTGCAATGTCATCCCATGATCACCATTGCTTCATATTGCCACGCTTTGAGCCAACACGGGATGTAGAGAACGTTATCTTTCTCTTTTGGATGTCAACAGAGCTCCAAAAGGCTGCTCCCTCCTTTCAGGGGGTGAGAAGTTCAGCTGAGACACCTCATTTGCTGTGAACTCTCTGAGGGTGAACAGGATTGTAATGCTCATAGTGACTCTAGTATTGCTAATACTCTTAACTGTAACAGTTTACCTTTATCCAGCACTTTCCGTACACAACATTTTGTCCTTTACTTCCACAGTAATTCCATGGAAACCCCACCACTTAGGCCCTTAGAGATGCATAGATTGTTTCTGAGCTTAAGATAAAAAATTTCTTGCTGAAGAATTCCCCAGTCCCACAAGGGAAATGCAACTGCAGCATCGCACCAGCTGTGGCACTCAGGCTTGCTCTGTGAGATATGGCCTTGCACCGTGACCTCCCGTGAGAGCTGAGGCACTCTCTCTCTCCTGATAGTGGTTTTTGCGAGCTCCAGCGTTATAGAGACCCTTTAGCAAACAGTGGAGGAGGAGGTGGATGTTGGATTGCTTTACTACACGTCATTTTCAACTGTTTATAATATTCTTCTGTGTCTACATATTTTCTCTGTGCACATTATTCATCAGAGTAAAAAAAGGAACTATGAAAACCTCGACCAACTTTCCTATGACAACAAGCGAGGACCCAAGGTATATATGCATGGAAATGCACGCCGCCCACCAACCTAACTAGCAAATGAAAAGTAGCCACAGCCACCAGAAAAATAAAAAAATAAAAAATAATAATAAAAAAAAAAAAAATAAAAAAAAAAAAGAAAAAAGTGAAAGAGAAAAAAAAAAGAAAATAAAAGAAAGAAAAAAAAAATCCATGACTATGTTTCTTGGTAGCACGTTTTTATGTTGAGATAGTTTGGTTTGGACTTGAGAATGGAAACTTAGCCAGCTGACCCTGGAAGGATTTCTTTTTGAAACATGCATGTGAACCAGTAATTAACTTGCAAGTTCTTTTTTTTTGGAAAGTTGAACCAACCCCCTTTCCTCCCCAAAGGAAACGGTTCCTTGGTGTAAGTTGCTCACTTTGACTCCCAAAGGTTAACCTTGTGCAATATGTTTTTCTCATTTCCCATGTTTTTGAAAAACAACACTCGTTTGAGTTTTCAATTGCATTTCAAAGCCTTTTTCTCTTTCCTGTACAATGCACGCCTCTTTTTGGGTCTTGATTGACTTCAGTTTGCATGCACAGTGCAAAAAAAATAAAAATAAAAAAAATAAAACAACTGAAAGGCCAAAACCTTAAAAGAGAAAGGAAGGAAGGAAAGAAAGAAAAGAAAGAAAGGAAAGAAAAAAGAAAAAAAATAACTATGACCAATCTTATTTAGCAGACTTTTGTGCAGTTTAATGAATTCTCTTGACCTTTTCTAGATAGCATGGCTCTCACCCACCAGTCCTGGGGCTCCCACACTAACCAGCTTTGCTCACACTAATCACAGGCTGAGAAAGTGCTTCAGTTTGACCCTGGAACCAAAAATGTGACATCGCTGCTGCTGGAGGCGAAGGAGCTGGAGGCTCGAGTCATCATCCTCTCTGCCAGGTAAGGCAGTGCCATTCCTTCCCCTCCCTGCTCTGCTTTTCTCCTCTCCCCTTTGCAACACTGCCCAGAACTGAAGTCAAAGCAGATTTGAGGTTTGTCATCCTTCCAAGGAACACGAGAGAAAACCTCGTTGTGGTTTAACCCCTGCCAGCAGCCAAGCCCCTCACAGCCACTCCCCCACTCCCCCAACAACGATATCAGGGACAGAATCAGAAGGGTAAAAGATGGAGAACTCGTGGGTTGAGACAAAGACAGTTTAATAGGGAAAGGGGAAAGCAAAAGCTGCTCACACAAGCAAAGAAAAACAAGGAATTATTTCACCCCTTCCCATGGGCAGCAGGTGTTCAGCACCTCCAGGAAAGCAGGGCCCCATCCCACGGAATGGTGACTTGGGAAGACAAACACCATCACTCCAAATATCCCCCAGTGTTCCTTCTTCCCCCCAGCTTTATATACTGAGCATGATATCATATGGTCTGGAATATCCCTTGGATCAGCTGGGGTCACCTGTCCCAGCTGTGTCTCCTTCCAGGCACTCCCAACTTCCTGGCCTGTGTGGCAGCAGGAAAGCAGAAAAGCCTTGGCCCCGTGTGTGAGCCCCGCTCAGCAATAACAGAAACATCCCTGTATGATCAACCTGGTTCAGCACAAACCCAAACACAGCCCCACACCAGCCTCTGGGAAGAAAATGACCTGTCCCCCAGCTGAAAGCAGCACAGCCCCACACAGGGATGTCCTGGGCAAGGGGTGGGTGCTGTGCTGTGCTGGACATGCTGCTGGCCTGGGAGCTGGCAGTCACCAGCGAGGCTGGGATGTCTCTCCTGCACAGTGTCAGCAGCTGCAGAACCAGCTGCAGTCAGTGACGGTGTATCCTGGTCCAGCTGTGTAGGAGGGGAGTCTCACTGTCCATGCCTGCAGCATAAGGACTGGGCCAGATGTGCAGATGCTCAGCAGTGCTGGGCCCTGTGGGATCAGGTGAAGCTGGGAGAAAGGTTCCCATTGCTCAAGAAATGAGCTGTTACCCAGGAGAAACAGTTGTCAGAGAAGGGCTACCTGGACTTGTGTCTTCCCTGGCACTGCCACTGCCTTGGGACCTGACACAGGAGAAAAGGGGCTATCCAGCACCTGGAGCCACATTGCCCTTCCCTTCATTAAACTCGTAGAGAGTGTCCAAAGGAGGCAACGAGGATGGGGAAGGGCCTTGATTTGAAGCCGGGGGAGGACACTGAGGGCACTTGGGGTGTTCAGCTGGAGAAGAGGAGACTGAGGGCAGAGCTCATGGCAGTTCCAGCTTCCTGGGCAGGGGTAGAGGAGGGGCAGGGACTGAGCTCTGCTCTGGGGGGACCAGGGACAGCACCCAGGGAATGGCTGGAGCTGTGACAGGGCAGGGTCAGGTTGGATCTCAGGGAAAGGTTCTTCCCCCAGAGGGTGGTTGGCACTGCCCAGGCTCCCCAGGGCAGTGGGCACAGCCCCAAGGCTGCCAGAGCTCCAGGAGGGTTTGGATGATCCTCTGGGGCACAGGGTGTGACTCTGGGGCTGGGCCTGTGCAGGGCTGAGGGTTGGACTCGACGGTCCTTGTGGGTCCCTTCCAACTCAGCACATTCTGTGATTCTGTGACTCCTCTCGTTGCAGTGAGGACGATGCAGCCACGGTGTACAGAGCAGCAGCCATGCTCAACATGACGGGCTCGGGCTATGTGTGGCTGGTGGGGGAGCGGGAGATCTCGGGCAGTGCCCTGCGTTACGCCCCTGATGGTAGGCACCCCTGTGGCACCCCCAAGGTACCCCTGAGGCACCCCTGAGGCACCCCCGAGGCACCCACCCTGCTGCCATCAGTGCTTGGAGACCCTGCACAGAGCCAGCATGAGGGGCTCCTGCCCCCCGGGGACCCCCTGGGCTGGGGGAACACGGTGCCGTGGTGGTCCCAAGCAAGTGGAGGGTCCCACATGTCGCTTCCCATTCCCCCTGCCTGCATGGGGAGTCAGCAGTCCAGCAGCCTTGTTCACACTGCTATACCCCAAATCCACATCACTGGGGCTTTGCAAGCTGACAGTCTCCTGGGGGAAGGGTTGGGCAGGGCGCTGGGGATGGAGCACGGGCAGTCAGTGGCCCATGTAGCTGCCCCCGTACCCCTCTGGCGGGCAGGACGGTGCCCGCCCTGCGCTGCTGCCCCTGCCTGAATCTCAGGCAACTCCCCACTGCATCCAAGGGTCCCCAGCCCATAACCAGGTGCTTGCTTGTCCCCAAACCCTGTTCATGGGAGCAAAGCTGGAGCAGCCAGCGAGCCCAGGAGTGCTGACCTTCCTCCTCCCCTCCTCTCGGGCAGGAGTGATCGGTTTGCAGCTCATCAATGGGAAGAACGAGTCCGCCCACATCAGCGACGCTGTTGCCGTGGTGGCACAGGCTGTGCACGACTTGTTTGAGAAGGAGAACATCACAGACCCACCACGGGGCTGCGTGGGCAACACCAACATCTGGAAGACAGGACCCCTTTTCAAGAGGTATTTGGTAAAGGGTCCTGCTGGAGGGAGCAGAGGACCTGCTGGGGGAGAGCTGGAAAAGGTGGGAGTATGTGGAAAAGGTGCAGGAGGACATGGCAGCTTTGCTCAGAGTATCTGTCACTAAAGCTTTGGGGCATGTGGCACAGGGCTGACTGGACTCTCCTGCATGATTTGGATGTGAAGACTCTCCTAGAAAACCATCCCAGACACAGGCTCAGGAAATGGCACCCAGTTTAGGCATCATCTGGTGCCTGGCACCAACTTGCTCCATGCCAAACCATGCTGCCCTGGGCAATGCTTGGGCAGCTGGGATGTAAGGGCAGGAAATGACTCTAGGAAGAAAAGATCTGGGGGCCATGGTGTCCTCCAATCTGGATCTTAATTCCATGAGTGGAAGTGGGAGAGAGGGGGTTTTCTGCCAAATCAGGGTAGGGGGATGTTTCTGTCAAATTGAAGCTCGGCGGTGCGGACACATTTCCTGCTGAACATTCCAAGGGCTGTGGCATGGGTCAGTGTGCTGCAAGCAGATCTTGGTGGCAAGAGATCTCCCTGCATGGGACAGGCAGATGAGAGCATGTGTGTGTTGGGTCTTGCTGCCATGGGCAGAAGGATCGACAGATGCTGCATGTGCTTCCCAGAACCCAGTTTTTGTGCACATCAGTGTGGATGCTGGAACCACAAGGGCCTCTTCTGCAGGCTGGACTGTGGTACAGCAGCAATTCCCTGCAGACCTGGGTTCTGCTGAGCATGGAACCTGCAAAGCCTGAAATTGTTTTAGAAATATTTCTGGCATCCTCTGCAGCAACAGAGTTTTTGGCATGAGCGAGTCAAAGGTGTTCTCCACAAGTGGCTCAGGCAATTGTTCTGTATCTTCACTATCATCTTTCCAGGGTTTGGGGGCTGGTGTCCTCTTGGTGGTGTATTCCTGGGGCTCTATGTAGACTGTGATGAGCTGGTGCCAATCAGAAGCACCAGGAACTGTGACATGGACGCAGCTCCCAAGGGACGCCAAGAGGAAGGTGTCCTTGGGTGTTGTGGGACACATCATTCCTTAAGGAAATGGGAATGATCTACTGGAAAACAAGGGACAGTGACAACAGATATGGTAGTGAACTTTGGGAAAATGGCTCCATCCACCAGGAAGGGATGACTGCTGGTCTATGAACAGACCATAGGTAGCCTTGGCTGGATTTCTGTAGGATAGTGTGCATATGGCAGGTAACTGAGAGAAAGATTTGCCCTTCTGATGCCTTCTTAGGGGTCCCAATGGCCACAGCAGGTTTTCTAGGTTGTGCCCACTGTGTTTCCCTCTCTAGGGTGTTGATGTCCTCCAAGTACTCGGAGGGTGTCACTGGCCGCGTGGAGTTCAATGAGGACGGGGACAGGAAGTTTGCCAACTACAGCATCATGAACCTGCAGAACCGGAAACTGGTCCAAGTTGGGATTTACAACGGCAGCAATGTATGTACAGGCCTGGCCTGGGGAGAAGGAGTGTATGCACTGGGGTGTTTACCTATGGCCTTACGTCCCTCTGCTTCCTCTGGGATCGCTCACAGGTCTTGACCAACGACAGGAAGATTATCTGGCCCGGGGGGGAAACTGAGAAACCTCAAGGCTATCAGATGTCGACCAAGTTGAAGGTAACAGCAAATGGCATTAGGGGGTGGCAGGTCTCCTCAGCTCTCTGCATGCCAGGCCATGACTTTATCTGCCTCCACCTCCACTGCTGCCTCTGCAGCTCTCAGCAGCATTTGCAAACCTGGGGCACCTCAGAGAGGATGTAGCAGAACAATACAGAAGGTACTGGAGGGTGTTCAGAGCACAGCTTTCAGCCAGAATCAAACTCCAGAAGCTGGAGGTGACACTGGAAGAAGGTCTCTCCAGTCTTGCTTTGCTTCTCATGCTCTTCCCTGAGGTAACACCCAGCAGCCACTTTAGTGACTGGATCCTGGGCAGGCCGGTCTTACCACTGTGGCCATTCATTTGTCCTGCTGTCCGGGCAAGGGACACACTCCTGCTGGTAGTGAGCCCTTGTCCCTGCACAGGTGGTGTTGGTGCTTTGGGATGTTGCACAACTGAAAAGGTCTACGGTAGGACTGAAATATCTGCATTAGCTTGGGGCAGCATGACAGTGTCTAGAGGACCTTTCTGGGCACTAATCCTGGCTGCGTGGTGCCCCCCATCAGCCTCCTGTTAGGGAGAAGGGTTTTGAGGCTCATGTGAAAGTGCCACGTGAAGGAGGGTGCTGATACAGCTGTTCCTCATCTTGGGATCAGGGAAAGTAAATGTTCTTAGAGGTGGCCTTGACAGTGCTGGGTTAACAGCTGGAATTCATGATTTTAAAGGTCTTTTCCAGCTAAATGATTCTATGATTCTGTGATTCCCTGTGCCAAAGCCAGGTCTTACTGCTGGGCTGAGCAGTCCTGTGTGCTGAGATGGCAGCTGGGAAGGGCACCCGGGCGTTTTAGCCATGCTGGTGCGGAGAGGGCAGCCCAGCTCCTCACCAGGGAAATGCAGCTCTGGAGGGGGACAGAGACAAGAGGGTGTTTGTGCTTGGCCTCGCAGATCGTGACGATCCACCAAGAGCCCTTTGTGTATGTGAAGCCCACGCAAGCAGATGGGACATGCAGGGAGGAATTCACCATCAATGGAGATCCTGTGAAAAAGGTCTTCTGCACTGGACCCAACGAGACCATCCCAGGTAACTCAGTGTGGGGGTGACTCCCCCAGCCCACCAGGCTGATGAAGAATGCCACTCCAAGAAGAGGTCTCAGGGAGGGTCCTCAGTCACACAGGAAGCCTAGAGGATGAGGAACAGAAAGGTGACAGCACAGTCAGCTCCCAAATGACCCCCATCAGCTCAGCCCCACAGTAGTGCTGTGCAGGAATTGGGCACTGGGATTCAGGTTTTTGAACCCAACAGATTACTTTCCCACTGCCTCTTTTCTGGATGGGCTCCAGGGCTTTTTGGGGGTTGCACCCCAAGGTTCTGTCTCCTGACATGCTCTAATTCTCTTCACCTTGATCTCCAGCAGAAGTGAGACTCTCAAGGCACATTAGCTCTTCTTGCACTGATATGAACAACACCAGTTTCAAACTGTTATGGAAAGCCCATGTCAGGGTGAGGAGTGAGCACCTGGGGGGAGGGTGAGCTGCTCAGCAATGCCAGGCTTGCCCAAATCCACCTAAAGGGCATCCCCTTGGCCCGTCATGCTTTCCTGTGCACACCATTCCCCCAGCCCTGGGCTGTGTCCTGGGCTGTGTTCAACCTGGTGGGTCCAGCACATGCACCGTGCCCTCAGTGGGTGGGTAGCACCAAGTCTCAGCCCACCTCACTGGGACATAGAGAAGGAATGAGACCCCTTTGTCCCCAGCTTGCCAACACCAGAGGGGATGGAGGCAGTGAGAGGGTGATCAGACAGCTGGCCCTGATGCATAAGGTGGTTACACCCCATGTGGAACCAGAGCCGTGAGGTGGTTGTTCTCAGTGGGACAGGCATGGATCCTGCATGGGGTTCCTGGCAAAGGGCTGCCTCCACTCCTCCCCCCACTGTCTCCTCTCCTCAGGCCGTCCCACAGTGGCTCTGTGCTGCTACGGCTTCTGCATCGACCTGCTCATCCGGCTGGCAGGGGTCATGAACTTCACCTATGAGGTTCACCTGGTGGCTGATGGTAAATTTGGTACCCAAGAGCGGGTGAGTTTGGGCAGCCTGTGATGCCTCTTTGCCTTTATCATGTGTTGAAATACCCCCAGGCCCTTCTCTGGAGCAGGGGTGGGGTGGGAGGGCAGTGCAGGATGCCTGGCACATGTGGGGATCCTGGCTAGTGGGGGAAGTGTGTCAGGGCAGGAGTCTGATCCTGTGTGGGCTCTCTGGCAGGTGAACAACAGCAACAAGAAGGAGTGGAACGGGATGATGGGGGAGCTGCTGAGCGGCCAAGCAGACATGATTGTGGCTCCCCTCACCATCAACAACGAGCGGGCTCAGTACATCGAGTTCTCCAAGCCCTTCAAGTACCAGGGACTCACCATCCTTGTGAAGAAGGTATGGGCTGGGGTGGGATGTTCTGTAGAACTGGGGAGGTGTCCCCTGCTCCCCCCCACACTGCAGAGAAGTGCCATGCCCACACCATGCCCGGTTCCCCCTGCGCTGCCCCTGCAAATCCCAACCTCCAGACTGGATTTAGTGCCGGGTCTTGTCTCTGCCACCCTGACCCCTCCTGTGTAGCTGAGCAGGAGGAGCTCAGAACAGGGCAGGGGTCCCTGTGGGTCCAGCCAGACGGGCAGGGTGTGGGTGTGGTGGGTGCCAGCACTGTTCACCTCTCTCTGTGTGCCAGGAAATCCCCCGCAGCACCTTGGACTCGTTCATGCAGCCCTTCCAGAGCACCCTCTGGCTGCTGGTGGGGCTGTCCGTGCACGTGGTGGCAGTGATGTTGTACCTCTTAGACCGATTCAGGTGAGTGCACTTCGGGCCACCCAAGAGCTGGAGGGGACAGGGAGGTGCTCCTGGGAACCATCTCCTGGGTCCCTGCAGTGTCTTGCTCAGGGACAGCCCTGCAGCCCTTTGGGGGGCTCTCACAGGAACTAACCCCACCTTCTCTGCCTCACCAGCCCTGGGCTGAGGCTCCTGTCCCTGCTGACTGCCTGAGTTTCCTCTGAGATAGTTTCCTCTGGCCCTTCCTTGGCCCTATGACAGCTTCTCTGAAGGGCAGAGAACCTGTTCCCACCTCAGCCCTGCACCCAGACACTTTGGTGGCTGATCTGCAGTGAACCCTCCGTGTAGCAGTGGGAGAGGCTCAAGCTGGTCAGGATCAGATCATCTTTCTGATCTGGAGAGAAGTGTGATGGGACTGGTACCAGAGTGAGATGTACAGATTACCTATCAGCACTGGGGATGTGCAAGTCAGTAGGACATGATGAGGTAAAGCTGTTTGGGACACAGGCACAGTCTGTAGGATTGAGTGATACAGGCCTGCATCAGGACACTTAAGAGGGCACAGTGGAGAGCCCCCGAAACCAGGCTAAGGGAAATGAGAGAAGTTCTTTTTCTTGTTTTCCAGCCCGTTTGGCCGGTTCAAAGTAAACAGTGAGGAGGAGGAGGAAGATGCCCTGACCCTCTCCTCAGCCATGTGGTTCTCCTGGGGGGTCCTGCTGAACTCTGGCATTGGAGAAGGTGAGTCACAGCACACAGTGGGACTGCTCTGCCCTGCAGCCCTGTCCCTGAGCTGAGAAGGCTGGAGGAGAAGCCTCTCACTGATGAGGCTGATGCCCTTTGGGGACATCATTCCCTGGAGCAGACTGGTAGAAGATTGGTAATGCTGAGTGTGACACACTTGTGGCACTTGTGAGGGCCATCCTTCCACCCCCAGCATCAGTGGGGAAAACAGTCTGTCTTTGCTGTGTATCCTGCCAGAGTTACCCACCCACTAAACATGGAGCATGCCCTGGAAGGAGCTGGGTTTCTCTTGATTTGGGCAATGCAGGAGCTCCTTGCACAGCTGTTGGCAGAGCAGATAGACGGTGCATGTCTGCAGCTGCCGTTGGTCTCACACAGATTGATGTGTCTTTGATGACCAAGCCAAACTCTTGTCATACCATTCTGATCTCTCATCTCTCCCCCCAGGTGCTCCCCGGAGTTTCTCTGCCCGTATTCTTGGCATGGTGTGGGCTGGCTTTGCTATGATCATTGTGGCTTCATACACTGCCAACCTGGCAGCCTTCCTGGTGTTAGACCGACCTGAGGAGAGAATCACAGGCATCAATGACCCCCGGGTAATATCCTTCACTTGCTTTCCCCTTCCCTGCCCACTTCTGGGCATAAAATGTGGCTTGTAGTTCCCAGAGCCCTGATTTACCATGGCTGGGATCTGTACCAGGGGGGCAAAACCAAGCTCTGCATGGGCTGATCCTGGTGGGTCTGAGCCCCTGCACTGGGTGGGAATGGACAGACATGGGGAGGGATCAGCAGGAAAAAACTTGTCCAGAATAGCCCCTATGCAGTCAAACTGCCTGCCAGTTCCTGGAGAGCCTCCACTAACCAACGAGGAAACAATTAATTATGGATGACTTATAACTAATGAAATTGTCCCTGCGGTGCAGTCAATACTCTCCACATGCCTCAAATCCATTTCCTGCTCTGGCAAGGACACAGCCACGGCTTATCAGCCCCAGCACGCAGGAATGTGCCCTGCAGCAGCACTGACCCACAGTGTCCTACACCCTGCTGCATCCTCTGCCCACAGCACTGCCAGCCCCATGGCACCCACAGCCTCCTGCACCCTCAGTGCCACAGTGTTCCTGTCCCACATTGTCCCCTGCTCCCCCACCACGGTCCCAGAGCATCCACTGCCCTGTGGCATCCTCTGAGGAGATCAAGGTCTTCTCTAGGAAACAGGTCTCTGAAGGAGGTGGGAAATTAGGAAACATGGCCTTGGGGTGAGTCAGTTTTGCTGATGAAGGACAGAAAAAACAGCAGCCCTGTCACAGAATCACAGAATATTCTGAGTTGGGAGGGACCCACAAGGATCATCGAGTCCACCTTTTCAGTGAATGACCCATACGGGAATCAAACCCACAACTTCGGTGTTAGCAGCACCGTGACCTACCCAGCTGAGCTGATCTCAGGGTCTGTCCTTGCCTTTCAGCTGCGCAACCCCTCCGATAAGTTCATCTACGCCACGGTGAAGCAGAGCTCCGTGGACATCTACTTCCGACGGCAGGTGGAGCTGAGCACCATGTACCGGCACATGGAGAAGCACAACTACGAGAGCGCTGCCGAAGCCATCCAGGCAGTGAGGGACAAGTGAGTGGGGCCAGCACCTTGTCTGGCCGTGCTGGGAGGCATTTCAGGGAGCTGCAGTTGGGTGGAGCAAGCAGGGCCAAGGGAGCTGCAGTCACAGCATGTCTTGATGGGACCTCCCAGTTGGTGCTGAGTGGGATCTTCCCAGACTTAGTGCATTTCAGGTCCCTGGGTGGAGAGCACAAGGTCTATGTGGGGAGCCGCACAGTGGGAGCCCTGGCCCTTCTGGTCTCTGCTCTTCCTTCTGTGCAAGTCTGGGTGGCTTCAGTGCTTAAATTAGGGCTGGGAGCACCCTCGCTGCTCCCAGAGTGGCTGCAGACAACTGGGCTGCGCCCCTCACCTGTCTGTCCTCTCTCGCCGTCCAGCAAGCTCCACGCCTTCATCTGGGACTCGGCCGTGCTGGAGTTTGAAGCCTCCCAGAAGTGTGACCTGGTGACGACGGGGGAGCTTTTCTTCCGCTCTGGCTTCGGGATCGGGATGCGCAAGGACAGCCCATGGAAGCAGAACGTCTCCCTGGCCATCCTCAAGTCTGTACACAGCTCGTGGTGGGGGGCTTGCCCCAAATGCTGCATGTGCTTGCACGCAAGTAGCCTCATGTCAGGCACTGCTCCCCCATCCTCTGCAGGGACGGGAGTGCTGGGGGCTGCCATGTCCCTCCTGACAAAGGGGACATGGAACGACCAGAATGGGCACCCACAGTCTCAGCTCCAGCTTGCAGGGCTGGGGAAGCAGCAGGGAGGTGGTGGGAGGGCAGAGCAGAGCAGGGCAGGGATCAGAAGCCAGGCTTGTCCAGGAACGTAGGGAAAGCTGGCAGAGAAAACTGGGGCCACCCGGCACCAGGTCCCGGTGAGCAGGGTGTGGGTGCTGCCATCTCCCCACTTCTCCTTGTGGGCTCAGCCAGCCTGACAGCATGGCACTGCCCTGGCTTGGTCTGCCAGGGGTTTTTCTTTCAACTCTGACTATTCCTGTTAGGCGGGGATATGTCAGGACCCCTGCTGAGTCCAACTAGGGCTTTTACACCAGCCTGCAGTGTGGGGTGTCGCAAGTCAACCTGGTATTATGGGTAAAAAGGGATTGCCTCGCGTTACTTTGGAAATGCCACACTTGTGTGAGACAGAGGAATGTGGCAATGGAGGAACAGGCATCTGGGAAGCAGCAGGTGGAGAGAGACAGACATGTGAGATTCTTTTTAGGAGAGACAGGATCAGGAGCCACCACAGTCGTGCCCAACATGTAGAGATGAAAGACCTGAGAAAGAGAATGGGCAGGATGTGGAAGACACAGGCAGGACCAAGACACAGGGCAATATAGGGAGCCATGGTACCCCATCTGTGGGGTGATCTTAGCATGGGGATGGGTGGCAGATGGGATTTGGGTAAACAATGTGAGAAACCTGAAGAGGCCACAGGGGTCCTCGGTGCCCTCCTGGGAGAGGATGGGGAAGCCCAAGGCTAGAGGTGGCCCAGGAAGGTAGTAGGGATGTGCCAGGAACAACAGGGAGGAAAGTGCAGGGGGCCTGTAGTGAGATGTGTGCTCTGTGCCCCATCTTCATCCCCACAAGCTATTCAGGCAGAAACAGGCACTGTGGGGACACAGTTTAGTTTGTTTCCTCCCAAGCTGTGACACCAAGCTGTGACACCAAGCTGCTGGGGAGTCCCAGCCCTCACCGTGCACCTCGGGGAGCTGCCAGGCAGCAGTGCCATGACCTAGAGGGTGCTAGGCATCCCCAGAAAGGATTGGGGTCAGCGTTACCTGGGCTCCCAGGTGGCCCTGGCAGGTGGGGGGAACATGCAGAAGGGAACTGGGAGACATGGTTCATGTCCACTCCCTTCAGCCTCTCTCTAAATGCTCTCTGAGCACTGCCTACACCTGCCAGCTCCATCCTTTCCATGGGAACACACCTTACATGTGGCTTACACGTGGCTCTTTTGGCAAGAGCTGGCTGCCCCGCAGCTGCCCCAGGGGCACTGGCACTAGGAAGCTGTGGGTCCTGCTTGCACCCACTGCCCTGTGCACCAGTTGTGTGCAGGGGGAGTGTGAGCACATGCAGTACTGTCAACCCCTGCAGACAGGCCATACACACACTCTCCATGTAAAGATCACACGTGTGTGCGCTCACATGCAGCCAGCACATCCTTGGTCCCTATTGTTTGTGGGCTGCAGGCAAGTGCAGATTCCTAATTCAGGGGGCACAAGAGCACAATGTGTGCCCCAGCTGCCTGTTGCTGATTCCCAGTGACTACTCTGTCCTGTCTCCTTGTGCTTCCAGGTCCCACGAGAACGGCTTCATGGAGGACTTGGACAAGACTTGGGTGAGGTATCAAGAGTGTGATTCCCGTAGCAATGCCCCAGCAACACTCACCTTTGAGAACATGGCAGGTTTGTTCTGCAAACCTCTTTCTTCCCCCTCACTGGGTAGCCTGCTTTCACTCAAGACACTCTCCTCTCCAGGGCTTCCTCTTGGGCCAAATCTCTGCTTCTTCTGGGTCTGTGCTTCCCTACTGCTGGGAGGCTGCTGTGGTGGGCTCCAACTCCACCGTGTTTGAAACAGTTCCACAAAGCTTACCCCACATTCCCTGGGTGCCCTTCTCACCGGTGGGGCTGCCCTGCTGTGAACACTGCTCCCCTCCCTCTGCTCTGGCCAAACTGGGGCTGTCACTGTGGAATCAGAGCTATCCCAAGGCAGAGAGAGGGGAGCAGTGCCTTGGGAAGGGCAAGAGGGGACCCTGCTACAAGAGGGGGCTGGAGGCGAGAGATAGCCCCCCAGCCCTGAGAGCCCTGGGCAGGGGCAGGATTAGGATAATGGATACAGAGGGGTTTTTATCTTGGTCCCCCTTTGCAAAGGCTGTGAGAACCCCCAGACAGGGTCTCCTTTGCAGCAATGTGGTGCCGCTGGTCCTACACCCAGCCAGTGCAGTGATGAGGGATGAGGGGTGTCCGATGGGACCCCATCCTCGCCAGCACCACCAGCCAGGGCAGAGGGGGCGTTTTGCTCTGTCTCCTCAAGACACCACTCCAAAGCCCCGAGGGTTGCAGGTGTCTGAGGACAGCACTCTGTGCATGGCTGTATTTCTCAATAAGACAAACCGAAGTACCAGAGCCGGGTTTTGGTGCAAGTGACCCCACAGTCCCATGTGGGGGTCTGCCCAGGGGCTTGGTGCAGCAGCCAGCACGCAGCACTGGTGCAGCACAGTGCCCTGCCCAACCAGAGCTTGCATAGACATCCAGCACCCCACCACCTCTCTGCCCACCACTGCAGTGCCCACCCAGAAGCACCTGCTGTGTTCCCCTCCCCGGCCCCTCCAGGACTAGGGGGGATGGTGGGGGAACCCTGGGTTGGCAAATGCTCCTGTTGCTGGGCGTGATACAGAAGAAATGAAGTGTCATGTTGCAATTTCTATTGCCCCCTGTAACTTTCCTGCTTATTTCAGGTGTGTTTATGCTGGTGGCTGGAGGTATTGTTGCCGGGATATTTTTAATATTCATAGAAATAGCTTACAAAAGGCATAAGGACGCGCGGAGGAAGCAGATGCAGCTGGCGTTTGCGGCCGTTAATGTGTGGAGGAAAAACCTGCAGGTAGGACAAACCGTTTTTAGAGCAAATCTCCACCAGGTGCGTTTTCCATTCCTTCACCAAAATCAGTGAATGCAGAGCTGTGGATTAGCATGGGGCCCTCTGTCCCCCACCCCACACCCCAGAAACTCCAGCTGGGCATTACTGGGTGTCCAGCAGGCTGTGGTGCCTCGTTCCTGGGAGCTGCCCGTGGCCCATGCCGTCTCTCCCAGGAGGTGTTGTGCACAGCTCCAACTGGGACAGATAGTGGGGCCCAAATGCCCCTAGTGGAGCTTGGGATGGGGACTTTACTCTGCTGAGGAACATGTGCTGGAGCCTTGGCTCCAGCCGAGCAGGCAGTGCCACTGTGGCTCCCTTTGCAGGTATCTGCCCTGCTGTCCAGCTCTGGCCATGCTCACCAGCAGATGGGGGGAGGTCAATCCGCTGCCACTGAGCATCCCTGGCCGGTGCTCAGATGGAGAAATGCTCCAGGGATAATTTCCATCACCTACCCTTCCCTGCTTGCTCCCCAACAGCACGGTAGCCCTTGTCACACCCAGGACCGACTCCAAAATGAGGTGGTGCGTGCTCTTGTCCTTTGGAGACAAGGACATTTCCCCACACGGGAGCCAGCAATGCCAGTCCCTGTCAGTGCCAAGGCTCCCTCGGGCCTCTCCCATTGTTCTTCCCGACTTCTTCTGTCCCTGGAACCCCTCTGTGCCACTCAGACAGGGAAGCCCAGGAGTGTCAGAGCTGTCTGGCAGTGACACTGAGCCATGGACATGTCTGTGGGCCACCAGCCTCACACTTCCCTTACCCTGCTGCTTTTGGGGCTGAGCCCCACAGTGCCCTTGAACCCCAGTTTAGAGCAGCTGGAGGCTCTGTCTGAATTGCCTGGGCTGGTTTTTTCCCTTGGGGAAGCACCAGCATTCAAAGAGCAAGAGATCCTTTAGGCGACTAAAGGAGACTGCGCTCGGAGCAGAGCGAGCAAAGGAAAGAGAGAGAATGAGGCTCGGGGAGCCCGAAAGAAGCCCGGAGCGGTGGCCCTGGGGGAGCAGCGCTGGCTGGGGTGTTTTGGGGGGGGCTGCCCGGGTGGAAGTGACCTGCCTGAGAGCAGCAAGGGGAGCACGAGGCTGGGCTGCTGTATCCTGAGAGCTCGCTGAGTTCAGTTCGCTGATAAGAGTCTCGGAAAAGCCATTTCTCAACTTTTTTTTTTTCCTTTTTTATCTTTTTTTTTTTCCTTTGCTTCCAAAAAGCAGCAGCACCGAGGGGGTTAAGGCTGCTGGGACAGAGCACACTAGTCGCACTGCCATTTTTCACTTGCCAACCTTCTAGAAAATACTGCACTGGGTCCTTGGGCAGAGTCTGTGGGACTGTGAGCAAAGCATGCTGCCCTGTGGGGGTAAACAGCCTCATGGTAAAGAGCCGTTTGACATTGTAAGACTTTTCCACAGGAGGAAACGTCAGAGCACTAGTATCTGGTACATTGCTAGAAGGTAGGCAAGTGGAAAGATTTATTTGTTAAAAAAAACAAACAAAAATAATGTTTTTTGGGATCACAGTTTTGCCATGGCTATTTCCTGAGATGCCATGGAAGAAAAAGACATTTCATTCCATTCATCTTGCTTTCCTTTCCGTTTGTGCATGTCCGCAAAAGAGAGAACTGAGAAGGAGGAGCAAATGTATCCCCGAGCATGCTCTACGCACCAGCGGGATACATTTTGGTTACCCCCGTGCGGTAGCAGAGCCAGACCTGGTCACTCCGTCCCCCGTCGGAAAGGTCACACTCATTGGCACGAAAGCAATTGGGGAGGAATCGTTGTCAGCGCCCGCCGCCGAGCGCGGCCGGTCCCCTCGGCTCGCTGCCCCCGCACCATGGCGGCTGGTGCTCCCAGCCTGCGCCAACCAGGTCCGACTCGCTAACTCCAACGCCTACATTTTTCAGTTCTGTTTCTCTTTGAGTTCATCCCGACCCCGACGACATCATAGCACTAACGCTTTGCCTCCTCCCTTTCTTTTCCTTATCTTTTTTTTTAATTTTCTTTTCCTTCCAGTTTCTTTTTTTTTTTCTTTTTTTTAGCCTGTTTTACTTTGGAAAAAAAAAAAACCAACCACCAAACCACCACCAGCAACCACGTTCGGCTTTGCACAACTGCGTCATTTGAATTTTTGAACACTTTTTTTTTACAGAATATTCATACAATGACTTCTCTTTCAATGCAGTCCTCTCTCTCTCTTCTGGCACTAGGATTCAGCCTCAGAAAAGGCCCTGAGCAATTTTTTTTTTTTAGTGGTAGGTGCAGCATCTCACATCTCTGTCCAGCCAGGCTAGCGGTGGAAGCGAGGGGCAGGGCGCCAGGCAGAGCATCCCCAGGAAGCGAGGTCAGCTGTGCCGGCCTGGCCACAGACACCCAGGAGAGCAGGGATACTCCCCAGAGGGGTTTCCAGCACTCCAGATGTGAGGCCGGCCCCTGGCAGCTGTATCAGTGTGGTGGCTGTGCCGTAGCCATGGGTCACGGAGGCCCTCGGAGGACTGGGAGTGACAGAACACCTCCAGTAGCTTTCTCACCTAAATGAAAGCCATGACATGGGGCAGTATTCAAATAGATTTAGAGTTTCCAACAACACACTAGAGATCTAATTACTTATACATATTCATTTTAGGATAGAAAAAGTGGTAGAGCAGAACCTGACCCTAAAAAGAAAGCCACTTTTAGGTCCATCACCTCCACCCTGGCCTCCAGCTTCAAGAGACGTAGGTCCTCCAAGGATACGGTAAGAGGAAGAAGAACAATTCTGCCCTCTCTCTTTCTCTCTCTTTCTCTCTTCTGCCATCCCATTGACTGCCACACACCCATCCCGAAGCTGCCAGTGTACATGCATAGCTCATGTTCGTCACCAGTCAGTCAGTCAGTCAGTGAGTCAGTCATCCCGTGTTCCTGAAAGGATGCTGGGATCCTGGAGGGCAGGCAGGAGGTGGCTTGGAGTCCTGTGATGAGTTGGGAGATGCAACTGAGTTTTTGTTTTGTTTTTTTGTTTTCTTTCTGCCTGGATGATTTCTGATGTTTCTCTCTGTGCTTTGCTCACCTTACCGGTGCTGACCTCTTGAAACGGATGACATTTTTTTTTTCTTTTTTTTTTTTCTGTTCCTGAGTGTTTCTGTACCTGTTTGTCATTGTATGCCTAAAAACAATCACCCCAGTTTAATTTGGGCACCGTGTCACCTCACCGAGAGCCATGCGTGTCACGTTCTCTACATGTGATTTTTGTTTGTGACGATTAGCATTCGGGATGTAGTCCTGGGCACAGGAGTGACAGCTGTCTCTGGTTATTGTCAGCAGTAATGTAGCTCTAGAAAAGAGATAAAAAGGCTTGAAAGTGGAGGTTGTTAAAGACCCAGCCTTGGTTCAAACTTGTGCTTTCCACTGCTGTCATGTAACCAGAGAAAATCTCCGAATTGCTGCCTCTAAAGCCAGCTGTTTCCAAATGTGCAAATGTGTCTGCTCGTGCTGGAGCTTCAGACACTTCAGCGTCAGGTTGGGCTGTTGGTCTGTCGGACTGAGCCATGTCCCTCTGCATGTCGCCGTCTGTTGTATGACACTCTGCACTGTGGCTACTCTGTTGTCTCGTGTGGCAGCGCCCGCTGCGTGTTGCTGCCCGACCTCCTGGCGCGATGGGCTGGCCAAAACCACCTCCCCGGGGCGACCGGCGGGTTTCTGCCCAGGGTTGCCCAGAGCAGGCTCCCCGCCAGGCTGCCCGAGGTGCGGCGGGGACGGGGGGACGGTGGCAGGGCGGGGAGATGTGGCCCCCCATGATGGGGTGGCCCGTCCCCAGCCGCAGGCTTGGGGCGCCCCGGGGAGCAGCATGTGATACCACAGGGGGTCTCGGGGCCACGGCTCTGTGTGCGGAATGGAGGAGGCTGCCTTTGACACCAGCGCAGGCTCTGTGCCAAGACACTCCTGGAGCACCCCTGGGACGCGTCCCTGGGGACAGCTGAGCCCTTGGCCGGGCTCAACTGCCACCACCTCACACAAAGTGCTCCTCTCACTGTCACCTCAAAGCCTGGAAGTCATGAGGGGGGACCCACATTCTTCCCACCCATCCTCTGTCCCCATGGAGAAGACAGGCATCCCTGTCCCCTCCTGCACTGCCTCCATGCTCCCCAGGTGGCACCTTGTCCAAGTGATGCTCCCATATCTGGGATGCCCTCTTCCCACTGCTGCACCCCCTGAGCAGCTCTGCAGGGAGGTCAGAGGTTGTGTCTTGGTGGCCTGAATCACAACCAGGGGAGAGAAGACAGAGATGGGGTGGGTGGTGCAGGGGAGAGAAGATGGGAAGAGTGAAGATGAGGAAGAGAAATGGGATGCACGGAGAAAAAAAGGGAGAAAAAATTGCAGAAGTATCTGCATGTCCTGGGTAGATTCCCATGTTTTGACGTGTTTGAACTACTCCATGATTAGGAAACCAAGGGATCCGGCCCTGGGAAAGCAGAAGCCTGATGGTGCCCTCGGCACCTGGGGGGACCAGTTCCATTGGTGGGCTCATTGAGAGGAGCAGAACCCAAGAACAATGGGGCAGCTGGCGTGTGGCATCCCTGGTACCTCCCATACCACTCCTTCTTCAGGGAAGCATCCTGGGCCTGCTCCTGTTCCACAGTGTGGCATCCACCCTACACCACAGCAGCCCACAGCCCTCTCTGCCCCACAGCAGGAGCACCCAATGCCCTGAGTTGACCAGATCCAGGGCTCACCTGCACCAGAGGTCCTATGGGTGAGCTGTGGAACTGTTCTCCCCCTTCCCACGCCTGGTGGGGATCAGCACAGCCTGAGGCTCCTTGTGCTTTGGGTCCTGTCCATGCTCTTCCTGGCGCATTGCTCACAGGCCAGTTGCAGAGGGAGATGACCCCACTCATCCCAGAAGATGGTCACCACTTTGGGGGCAGCTGCATCTGCAAGGCAGTTATGGTCAACTGTTCCCCACTGCCCAGAAGCCTGTTACAGTCCTCTGCCTGCCATGGGGTGACGTGGCCAGGGTCCCAGGACACGTTCCCCAGGGAACTGGGCTAACTGGGTCAAGAAAAAGCTACTGGGGTCAACATCCAAGCCAACGTGGCCAACTTGGAGTCTAGCAGCTCTGAGGTCCGACTATTGCAGGAGGTCCACGGTGGAGCAAGCTTTGTGGGGATGTTGGGCAGACTTGCTGGTTGCTCTGTGGGATGAGCGACCAGCGGGAGGGTGCTGCCACCAGCTCATGTCACAGCCTGCGCTTGGTGCCCTCCACTTCTGTGCAGCAGCCCTGGCCCAGAGACCCCAATGCCCTCCTGCTGTGGAAGGCCCCATGAGTACATAGCATGCTGGGGCACGTTGCCTGGGGTCCTTGTAAAGACGAGAAAGCAGCGAGGTGCTCTGTTTCATGATGTTCATCAGAGCCACAGGCCCACACCAGGTCTTAGATGGGCGAGGCTGGAGAGCCCATGGGGCTGGAAGGCCAGGCTGACCCCAGCCCCACAGGCTCTCCTGGCTAGCAAGCGAAAGACGCAGACCTGGTGGCCTTGCTTCTTTCCTTTTCGTTGTCGGGAGTTTTAAAAATGGATTCTGCTCTGCAGCCCTGCAGAATGGTCCCTCAGGAGTGCCAGAGAGACAGGCTGGCACCATGGAGCCAAGACAGCCCTGGGAAGCTACCACCCCACTCTGAACGTCCTAGCGCCCACCATCACCCGAGCTGCACAGCCTCTCCGCGGCACATCATCCCCACCGCCCCAGGAGGAGATGCATGTGTTCCCCATAGGCAGCTCCTGCAACTCGAATAGCACTCGCAGAGCTGACGTACTGCCATCCATCGCAGCCACCCACGATACTGCAACCCCACAGACGCCATGTGAGACGCATAAACCACACAGACACCCTCCGAGCCGGCACATTTCCTACAGACACGTAACGAGGTGCACAGGTCCCTTAGCCGCCCCCCCAGCCATCGGCAGCCCCCGCAGAGACACATTGCCAGCCCGTGGGCACCCCCAGGCACGGCACGACACACGTCCCACGTCACCGCCAAGGGCGCGGCGCTGCCGGCGGTGCTGCCCTGCAGCCGTGGGGATGGTGCCAGAGCTGGTCGAGAGCCGAGGGGCTTCATGGAAAAGGTCACCTTCTCAGTGAAGGATCAGCTGTCCCAAAGCCAAATGCTTGTTGGCTGAAAAAAAGAGCCTAGTTTTTTTTTGGCCCAAAAGAACCAAAAGTAGGTCAAAGACAACTTTTTTTTTTTTTTTTTAAAGGGAAGTTGATATTTTCTACAGCAAGATTGCATTTAGCTGGAATCCTAATTTTTAATTGAAAAAAAAAAAAAACAAACAACCACAAACCAAAATTCTTCCAGAAAACTCTTCCACTAGCCAGGGACTACCATATGAGCCCAGTTAGGTTGAAGTCATTTTTAAAGACATTAAGTTCTTGTCTATATTTTCTTCCTGGTTGTCATTTAAAGTTTTTGGTGCCTTCACTTCACTTCCATACCTTAACATGTTTGAGTCTCTTCTACGGTTAATATTGATTAATTTCTTGGCTTTATGATGTTTGGTTTGGGGATTATTGCACCATCCCTGTAACATAATTTACCCTAAATTACTGATATGTGCTTCTAGCATTAGTCCTACTTTAACATAATTTTGATATGACCGTTTTCTTGCTTTTTTTTGTTTTTCTTTTTTTCTTTTAATTTTAATTTTTATTATTAAAAATTGCATGCATGAACAAAAAAAACAGTAAATGAGAATGTTACCCTGTGACAACTCTGTGATTGGAGGAGATATGCTTTCAAATCAAAAGCCATGCTCTTGTATTTTAATTTTTCTGGCCAGATTCCCCATTTCACTTGGTTATTTTAGCGATGCCCACCCCCAGAGCTGTGCAGAGAGGCCAGAAGGCCCCAGCCTGCCCTGCTAGACCTCCAAGCCTTCCACCACAGACGCCACACGTACACGTGCACCCAGGCACACGACTCACACATGCACACAACGCTTTTCCACCCTGCTTGCATCAGACAGGATATTCAACAAAGGACCTTTCTTCTACCCATTCATTTTTGTATCTCAAGTTCCTCCTTCTTCTCCACCAGTGACTCACCCGGCCTCTCCCCTTTCCCAGTCGCCTCTCCTCCCTGCGGGAGTCAAGCCCCATCCCATGAGCACACACCTCTCAGCAGTTTTGCTATGGGAACGGTGCATTTAGCCTGGAATTCAAATTTTTCACAAGGAGGGGGTGGCTGCCCATTTTTGGGAGGGGGTGTTTTTTGTTGGGCTGATGAACAGCCACAAAAAGCTCCCCCCAGGGTGGCAGAGCGGTGTCAGGATGGCCCCGGCCATTCTCCGTGCCAACAGGTGACGGCCGAGGTGTTGCCCCTTAGTGAAGCAAGGCCACGGTGAGGAATTCCCAGAGGCTCCATGGGAATATTAGCTAGTCCCCTAGGTGACAGGATGATCCTGTGAGATGCTCCCTGGGTGTCAGTTCATTCCCAGCATGTGTACTGGAGAGATGGGAGCACACGGCTCCTGGCCCCGGCCCAGCCGCTCCCCACCAAGAGGTCCTGGTAAAGCACAAGGCTGGATTGGGTAGCCCCACACGGGGGGACTCCCAGACTTCCCTGTGGCAGGAGGCAGGGCGTAGAGCACACAGGGTAGCCACAGTGCCAGAGCTGCCAGCAGCACCGCAGAGGCCACCGGAGACAGCACCGACCAACGCGGGGCAGGTCACGTCCCATCTCTGAGGAGCCCCCCGGGAGCCCCTCAAAACGTCAGCCCTCCTGGGCAGGGTGGTGCAAGGGCTGGGAAAATGTCACTGGAGAGGGCCTACACTGCAGCACACGAGACCCACTGAGACCCTTTCCTGCCCTGGCACTGGTTGAGGATCCCGGACAGCAGCACAGGATGTTCCTGCCACCTGCTCTCACAGCAGGGCTGGATAGGGCTACCAGTCCAGGCTTTGGAGTTAGAAGAGTGGGACTGGGAGAGGAAGGGAGTACGAAAGGAGGAAGGGAAGAAATAAATGCCCAGTTGCAAATTCCTGCCCAGGGAGGAAGGACTTTTTTTCTTGCCCATTGGTGGATATTTCTTTCTTGCCCCTTGCTTGCTAACGGGAGTGCAGTGGGGGAGGTCTCTCTCAGGGAGTGTTTGCTGAGCCCCCCCATCCACAAGGAGCACAGAACACCAAATCCAGGCCACATCCCCACCACAGGCTGTATTTTCACATTAGCAATCAATGCCACACTTTATCACAAGCCAACTACACCACACATCTCACCTGCATGAAAGGATAGTCACAGCAGAGTCATTCAAGCAAGGAGGTGAAACGCCCTGGCCTCAAAGCACAGCTTGATCTGGCATCAGAAAGGTGCCAAAACCCAGCCAGACCCTCCAAACACAGGTTCAGCTGTGGGCTGGGCTGATGAGTCACAGGCTTTGTTTTGTAGCCCTCCCAGAGTGGAGAGGGGCTCGCTCAGAGGGCAACGTGGCAGCCACGCTCCGCAGAAGCTGCGCCACGCTTCTGGGTGTCCCCTCTGCCCATCTCTAGGGTGCTTGGAGAGTGTCTGCAATGACCTCTGCACAATTGCATTGGGAAGGGGACCTCAGCCAGCAGCAGCTCTCGGGGCGTTGCATCACCCCCAAGAGATATCCCGTAGGGACACATGGGATATAAGTACCAGTGGGGACAAGAGCCAGAACTGCCTAACACTTCTTTCTCCTTGTCTGTCTATTTGTGTGTTGCAGCAGTATCACCCCACCGACATCACTGGCCAGCTCAACCTCTCCGACCCCTCAGTCAGCACTGTGGTGTGACCTTCTCCCTGAGGGCCATCAGTCCTTGCCCAACACAGTAGGAAGGCATAGCCAGGACTGCCTTTCAAGGGACACTGATGGGTTCTTCCGGGTGAGATGGGAGGAAAGCATCCTTCATCCATACACAGTGACTCCATTGTATATCTCCCTCCCTTCCCAGGCCTGCTGCCATGCTCGTGCCCCAGAACGCACAGCAGAACCAGGACACGGTTTGGACTCCACTGTACAGAGAATATTGCTTCCAAGCAGAGTCACAATAATCAGGATTGCCACTGACTGGCTCCATGCAAGGGGAAAGGACTGTGGAAGGCACATGGTGCCTGCTCTCCCATGGTAGTGGGGAACATCTGGTGCCAGACCACAAACACGTGCTCCACTGTGCAGGCTGCAGGCTTCTCAGCACACACGGCCCCTCAAACGTGTGCTCCATGTTTCCCACCACCTGGAGGGCTCCAGTGCAACGTGCTGGTCCTGAGTAGCTGGAGCAGCCGGTGTGGTTCAGCAGGTTGGGCACATGTTCCTGTTGTGCCAAGTGACCCCCACGTCTGCCACAGGGGCTGGAAGATGTGTGCTCTGCTCCCTGCAGGGTATGACCCCCTGCTCCTCCCTCCCATCAGCTCCGGGCTGTGACTTGGCTCCTGTCCATGGTCTGTTTGCAGCAGGAGCACTCCCACCCTGCAGCCCATGCTCCTGTGCTAATTGTGGTACCCTGGAGCCCACAGCGTGCTGCCAGCCAAGGTCCCAGCTCCCCACCGCTCCTGCACAGAAGACACCCCCAGGACCTGGCCATGGCCAGCATGTAGCACTCACCCAGTAGCTCTCCTAGCCAGGAATTTTCCATGAGGAATGTCTCTGGATGGTTGCACTGACCTTTACCCAAGCTCCACACTGCCTCAGCACCAGCAATGCAAGGAGAGATGCTGCTGGCTGGCCGTGGCTTGCTGCCTGCAGTGTCGGGGCACACGGCCAGCACTGCCAGCTTCCCTGCCACCCTCACCTGTAGTTCCAGCTTGCCAGTAGCGCCCATGGCAGCCTTGAAGCCTCAACTCATGGCGCTGCATCTGCCTGAACCTGGACACATGGAAACCAGATCGCAGTTCAGGAGAAGGAAACCAAACAAGCCAGGCTGATGCCATTCCTTCCTGCACCTTCCTCCCCTCAAGCCTACCCCCATGTGCCAGCACCTCTGAGCACCCTCACTGTGGGCTCTGGGAGTGGGTGCAGAGACACCAGCACTGGGGGAAGCATCTGGCACCAGCCAGGCTGGTGATGAGCAGCTACTGCACATGCACAGGCAGCATCATATTCCGTCTCCTGCAAACATGGAAAACCCACCTGCAATGTGGTACCAAGCCCCAGTGGCATGAACTGCCTTCTCCCTGCCCCAGCCAAGCAGACAGGGCTTCCCCCAGGGGCAAGCAGCCCCACAGGCAGGATTTTCAAATGGCAGCTGAGGTCTGTGAGTATCGTCCCACTGACTGCTGTGGCTCCATCTAGTTCATCTAGCTCCAGCTGAGAAATTGGACCCATTCTACTTTATACGTCAATGTAACATTAATACCGAGTTTTTGCAAGAGCTCAGTAAAGTCTAGACTGGATCATGAAGTGGTTTATTCTGATGCCGTGTGCCTCTTTCTGTCTCTGGCTTCTGGCAAAGCTGGCAGGGAGCCCTGTGCTGAGTCAGAACCTCACCCAGCCCCACTGCAGGGTCTGCAAACAGTGGAGGGTGGAGGGACGGGAAGGGTTGGAGAAACCAGCAGGGAGAAAGGCCAGGAGCTGCAGAGGAGATGAGGGTAGGACTGGCATCATTCTGGGATACTCAGCTGATAGACAGCCTGAACAGCCACAGGAGGGGGACAGGCCTTGCAGTGAGGGGATGGGGACAGTCCGGAGCTGTCCAAACACCAGCAGCGTGGCAGCTGGTTCTGACCCACCTTCATTCCAGGGAAAATGGTCCACTGCCACTGCTGGGCTTCCCATCTCCTGGGAGCCAGTGTGGGGCACTGCCAGTGGGGCCAGCCTTTGGGAACAGAGGATGGACCACAGGGGTGAAGCATCTGGGGGAGTCCTCACACATCAGCCCATCCATAGGGAGGCTCCACTGAGGGATTTGCAAAACAGAAAGGTAGCTCCCTTGGGCTGAACCGAAGCAACATCACCCACTGACAGAATAGTCCCCATGTGCCGAGACCACCAGCCCAGCCTTCATGGTGGGTTCAGCCTCAGGGTGGCCTGGGAGGAGGAGCAGGGCTCTGGGGGCTGAGCAGGATGACAAGTGAGGTCTTAGCTCCAAATGGGAAGCCCCAGATTACTTGGGAAGGATTGAATGCTGTCACTAGAGAGGATCTGGGAGAACTGGGATTGCTCCTGGGACAGGCAAGAGGATGATCCTGGCAGAGGTCCTGCAGAGCTCCCAGGTGCAGGGCTGGTGGCAGTGGAGGAGCTGCTCCCTGCAGCCCCCACACCCCACGACAGAGAAGGAAGTAGGAATCTGGCACTGTAGCAGCCCACTGGGTTGGTTTCTCTCTTGAAAATAAAAATGGGAGCAAGCCACAGCTGAGGTGACATTTGGTTTGTTCTCTGTGTGATTTACTGAACCCTTGCCAAGAGTTTGCTGAGGGATGCACTGACCTGCCACATCCCTGGTTGGTCCACAGCTCCTGCTGAGATGGAGTGAACAAGGGGAGCTGGTGGTCACAGTCATCTCACTGTGGCCCTGACCATCTTGCAGTCGGTACGAGATCAGGCAAAAAGGGCTGTCTCTTCTCCTTGAAAGATTGTTTTTGTCACCCAGCTTGTGCTTTCCTCTGGAGCACAGTTCCAGATCCTTCCAGGCCATCTCCCAGTACGAACAATAAGCATGTCCAGAAGCATTTCCACAGGGAAGGGCAGGAGGTGGCAGGGTAGGGAGGTGCAAGGGCAGCCCCAGCCCTGTTTTGTGGGTGATGGGAGGTGAGGCAGCATTAAGGGCTGCATCTCTGTGCTGTAAACCCACACAGGCTTGTTTGCCCCCACTCCCATCACTGAGCTACCTTGGCCTGCTTTAGCCTAGGGAAAGCTATTGGGGGAGGAACTACTGCAAGCCTCACCCATACTTTGGCAGTTCCTCTGCTGAACCATATCAGTGGAAACTCAAGGCTCTTCCCAACCCTCACTGTAACCTTCAGTCTTACTCTAGATCTTGGTTGTTGGTTGAGCCTTCTCAGCTCCAGCATTCCTGACTCAATGAAAAAAACCTATCAAAAGAAATGTTTTGCAACCAGCCCTGTCCTTGGCCAGCACATGAGGGCTCTGGGGTAGTCTGAAAGCCTCATGAAGGCTCTGGAATGCTCCAAAAACACACAGAGATTTTCAGGTGCACCAAAAGGCACATGGGGAGCTCTGCAGTTCACCAAAAGGCAAACTAATGCCTGTCAGGACACAGAAGCCAAACAAATGGCACTTGGGTGCATGAAAAGCCAAGCCAAGGAGTTTGGAAGGCATGGAAAGGTACCCTGAGACTGATGGGGTCATTGAAGGCAGACAGAGAGTGCTGGGGGCACCAAAAGACCCAAGGAGGGATTAAGAGTAAACTGAAAGGCACACAGAGGGCAACCTGGGCTGCACCAAAAGGCAAATGGTGACTCCTGGGGTGCCTAGAGGAATACAAGTGTTCTGAGATGTGCACGGGGCTCCCAGGCTGCACCCCGAGGCACAGTGAGGTACGTGGTGCATCCTGAAAAGCACACTGAGGCCACTGCGCACCACAAGGGGCAGGACAAGGGGAGAAGGATCACCTGGACAACCCCAGGAAGGGTCTGAGGGTGGTCTGGGGAAGCTCCCAAAACACTGAGAACATCTGCAGTCAGCCCATGCCCCGCAGGGTGCTGAGCTGCAGGCTGCTCTCCCAGCAGCGGGGCAGAGGGAGCTTGGAATTGTCCTGGGGACTCTGAGAAAAACCAAAGCAGTTCCAGGGACAGATCTTCCACTCACTGGTCTGCTGGGACATGTTTGCAACAGGTGGGTGCAGCCAGCTGGAGAAGGGTGTGGACCACAGCCTGCTCAGGGCTAAAGCCTGGCCATCCTGCCTCAGTGCACCCTGCAGATGCGGGGTCTCCTCCAGCAGTGGGACTCCCTGCGCAGGCTGTGGTAAAACACTACGACCGAGCCCATGAAGGTGCAGAAGAAGATGCTGGCAATGAAGGAGAACGGTCCAATGATGAAGAAGGTGATGTACTGTTCGGAGGACAGTGAGGTCTCCTGGCATTGCCTGAAGGACTCATCCCCAAAGGCCATGATCGGGTACTTGTTCAGCTGCTCCGGGACTCTGCAGAGGAGCAAACTCTTCTCTGGAAGAGAAAAGCAGTGCTGGTGGGCACACTGAGCATCTGGGAAAGGCAGGTGTCAGGGATAGGGGGATGGCAGTTCTGTATGGGACAGAGGGGACCAGGGCAGGAGGACAGGGGCCAGGCTGATCAAGATCACCCATGTCAGGGTACAAAGAAAGGGAGCTGTGGAGTTCAGGGATCATCTACGTCCTGAGCCCCAGAGAGTGGGATGGACAGGGAGATGGGCATAGGAAAATGGGTTTGGGGCAGGATGGCAGATAGGGCAGACAAGGTGGAGGGACTGGTTCCCAGGAGACAAATGTAGGGAGCATTCAGCAGCCAGGCTTGAGATGTCACAGAATGTCCCAGCCAGCACAAGTGCAGACGCACATTCGAGCTGGAATCAATCAGGAAGAAGTGGCAGCTAAAGCTTGCTGGCAGAAGTGTCTTTCACTGGAGCTCATGGGGAAAGAAATGTAGGATCAGAACCAGGTTCATGAAGGCTTTGGGGAAGGGGCTGAAAGCACTGCATCCTAGCTGGGTCAACAGCCTGACAGACAGGCTCCTCTTGCCCCTCAGGTGCCCATTGCTCTCCCCGTGACAGGACTGGTGCCACTGCTGGGGACAGCACTGGGTGCCTGTCACTGGGACATTGCCCAGCCCTCCCCTCCAGGCAATCCCTGCTGGTGACCAAGGTCAAAGGGTGGGCACCAGGTACAAGACCCAAGGATGTGTCCACCTAAGCAGACACAGGAGCTGCCATGGCCTGAGGACAGGTTCTGGGGAAGGTTACTGTACCCCAAGGGCACTGACCACCCAAGCCCTCGGGAGCCAGGTGAGGTCCTGCCTCAGCTCCTCCGGGGTGATCAGCCAGCCTGGAGCAGGTGGGGGCTTGGGGACACTCCGGGCACTCACCTCGTACTTTCTCCCTGTTGAGGCTGAGCCAGCGCCAGAGGGGCAGGATGCCACAGCTGCACACCCAGGGGTTGTCCTGCAGGAGAAGGGCTCGGAGCTGGGGCAGGGCGCTCAGCAACGCAGGCTCCAGCTCCCCCAGCCTGTTGCTGCCCAGGTTGAGCGTGGCCAGGCTGGCGAGGGGCAGGAAGGTCTCGGGGCTCAGCACGCTCAGGTGGTTGTGGCTCAGGTCCAGGTCCTGCAGCGCCCCGAGCCCCAGCAGCGCCCGGCCGTGGATCAGCTCCAGGCGGTTGTGGGGCAGGCTGAGCAGCCGCAGCCCGGGCAGCGGAGGGAAGGAGCGCGGCCCCAGCACGGTGATGAAGTTGTAGCCGAGCCACAGGGTGCTGGTGTTGGTCGACAGGCTCCACGGCACCTCGCGGAGGCCCCGCTCGCTGCAGTCCACCTCGCCCGGGGAGCAGCGGCAGGCGGCCGGGCAGGCGGGCGAGGGCGGCGGGTGCAGGAGCAGCAGGAGGGGCAGCACGGGGCCGAGGACTCTCCAGCAGCCCATGGTAGAGAGCAGAGAGGGCTCCTCGACCTGCGGTTACCCAAGGACAGGTTCCCCAGTGCCCGATGCCCTGCCCAGCCCCCTGTCCCTCGGCTGAGCGCGGCGGTGCCGGGGGAGCTGCTCGGCAGTGCCGCGCTCAGCTCCTGCAGCCACACGCGTTCCCCGCTCGCCCGGCCGCAAACCTGGATCAGGCTCTGTTCCCGGACCCGGTTTTCCTCGGGGTGGAGCTGAACTTTTTTCAGCAAATATTTTTGCAGTGATGCTTGCCCTGGCAAGGTGTGGAGCCGTGCCCTCGTCCCTCCCTCTGCCAGGCACTGCTCCAGCCAGGTAAGCAGCCAGTTCTGCGTAGCCTGGGATTAACTGCTTGTGTGTGCTGCAAGCTGGAGAGCTGAAAATAAGCAAAGCCAGATCCATCTTTTGGCCTCCATCCTCTCCAGGGGCATCCCCCGTGGGTGTGCTGCCTCACCAGCCATGTACAGAGGGGTGTGTGGGCCCAGGACCCCTGTAACTGGCTGAGCGGGACAGAATCATACCATCCACAGGTCTAACCTTCTGTGCTGTCCCACCATGCCCAGGGGTCCTCAGTGGGGAGCTCTGCTGGGAGACATGGGCTACCCCAGTGAGCCCAGCCCTTGTCCAGGCTCTGTTTGCCCCTGGCAGGACATCACCAGCCATGTCAAAATGAGGAGGGCTGGGATGAGGGTCCCATGGGCCACTCTTCTCCTCCCCCACAGGGTCACATGTCTGTGTGCACGTGGAGGGTCACCCAGGAGCCCCCTGATGACAATGCATGGGAAAGGTGAGCTTGCTGGGCTGTAGCCACCCAAAACCAGTTTACCCTCACCCTGGCACGGCAGTGCCAGTTTGAGAGGGCTCAAAGTCTGCCCCCACCCTGTTTACACCTGCTCCAGTTCAAAGCTGCCTGAAGCCCTGCAGCAGAAGGCTGAAGAGGAGAGGTGCCACTTCCCAGTGCCACTGTCCCTGGCAGAGCTCAGCAGGGATGGGGAGACCAGGAGACATGGCTGGCAGCAGCTTATCCCACTTACAGTCTGGAGTAGGGGCCTGTAGCAGGGCCACAGCCCCCACTCACACCCTCACACCCCCTGTCCCGTTCGGACCCTGGTGGTCACAGACCTGGAGGAATCCCTGTCACCTCTGCCCCATGGCCAAGGGGCTGGAAGGGCATCAGGGCAGGGCACAGCTGCACCCCAGGTCAGGACCAGGATGTTCCCAGATCTGGGGCAGAAGCAGCAGGCAGATGGTTTATTAATAGCTTCCCGAGGAGCTTTGGTTTGTTTATCTATCCTGCAGCAAACTCAGTTTGCTGCATTAATCCCCATCTGGAAATAATTCAGAGGAATCCTCCTGCCCAGCCCAGCCCTGGAGCAAGGGCACCAACCCACTGCCACGTGGAGCTGCAGGCCCAGCTCATCCCACCTGCAGCTATGGGCTGTATGGAGACCTGAATTTTTAGGGAGCCCCATCCCAAAACATTCTTACTCCCCAGGGACTGCATTGCCCACTGCCTACATCCACCTGGAATCAGATGAGAAGTGTAAAAATCATTGAAAAAATAACCCAAACCACCATTAAAAGCAAAATCATTTCTAGCTTTTGTGCTCAGAGAGTCCAGGAGGCCGAAAACCCATCTCAGCTCCTCTGCCAGCCCCTTGCTGTCACCGTGATGGCACATGGCAGGGGAGATGTCCCTGCCAGAGCCATGTCCAGACATCATCCTTTGCTTCTGCCTAGTCTCACTCCTGTTCTCCATATGTTGGCTGCACCCCACTGCAATAGCAGGTTGGGGTCCTGTGCCCCAGCAGTGCCACCACTGTCCCTTCACATATGCTGCCAGTGCTTGGCAGAGCATGGGTCTGTCCCTGTCCCTTCTCTGGAACAGGGGGACTCAGCACCTGCAAAAAGAGCCCAGATCCCTGTTCCCAGCCAGGGCAGCATTCACTGGTGTCCTGCTCCCCCTCCATGATGCCTCTTCCTGAGGTTTTGGGCTCCAAATGGAACAGCACAGCCTGGTCCTGGGGCCAGCACCAGGACAGGCTGCCCGGAGCACCTGCTCTGCAAGGACAGCTCGGGTGGCCTGTGCTGATAGAGGAGTCCTCCAGGGCACAGGGCTCAATTCTGGCCCTGCTCTGCCCAAAGTGCCAAACCAGGGTGCCCAGCCAGGGTGCCAAAACCATTCCCAGAGTGAAATGATGGAGAGGACGATCAACTCCTTCAGTGACCAGTCACTGGCTGGGAGCAGGGGAACGTGCACAGAGGCACATGGCAAGGGTCAAGCCCCACAGAGTGGTTCTGGTGCTGGGGGGATGAAGGGGAGCAGGAGTGGGAGTGCAGAGGTAAGAACAGGGGGCGTGGGACAGGAAGTCGTGGGCTTGGTCACCCATCACTGCTGGAAAGTTGGGACCCAAGGTGCTGGGCTGAGCACAGAGCCCTGCTGGTACCTTTGTACAGAGCAGTGCCTGGGGTAGGGGTGGGCCCTTCCCACACTCTTCCCACCACCCACCATTGTGTATTTGGGGCAAAATGAAGATAGAGGAGAAGGTGCATTAAGACTCAGTGATGGCTCTTATCCATTCCTTGAAGGCTTTAATTTCTTGTGTGTCCCCATGTAATTAAAGGTCCAAGGCAGGACTCCCATGGAGTCTCTGAACCACACCACACACACTTCTGTCTCCCCTGGAGCTCCCCAGGCTGAGCTCTGCTGGGAACATCTCAGCTGTGACTTTTTTATGGCAGGTGACACCAAGTGGCAGAGTTGTGCATGGTACAGTGCACAGTGCGGGTGCCCTGAACGGTGTGGGTGTCATTCACAGCTGGGTGCTGTGCACAGGGTGGGTGCTGTGACCAGTGTGGGTACTGTGCATGGGATGACTGATGGACTCCTCCAGCTGCAGCCCTGGCACCCAGTGCAGGCAACAGCCAAGCACCAGGACTGCCCAGGGGGCATGGAGATCCCAGCCATCCCCAGGGAGGCACAGGCTGGGGTCCTCTGCTGAGCCCCCAGGGGCAGTCAGTGGATCCCCGTGCTGAGATATTTATTTCAAGAGCTTATAAACAACATGGAAAACAGATGCAGAAAATGGGCTCTGAGGAAGGATCACAAGAGCTGCCCAAGCAACACCAAACCCTGCCCAAGAGCTGTTTTAGTGTCACCCTAGTGCTCCTTGTTTGGCCTCTGTTAACCCAGATCAGCTGCTTGGACTCCTGTCCTTGCACCCTGGTGTGGGATCAGGCAGGTGAGGCAGGGAAAGCCATGCAGGCAGCAAGGCACAGCTGGAAAAACAGTGGGGTTTGTATGTGCCTGTTTGTGGGGAGAGGGTCAGGCAGGAAAAACCAAATCTGGCCACAGAGCATGAGGCCAAGCAGGAGTTCCTGTGAGCTCAGCTCTACTCCTACACCAGAGTAAAGTAGCTGAAGCAACGTGTTGCGGCTTCCTAACAACTCTGTCATCCTCAATTTCAACCTTTCAGCTACCGTAATGCCAAAATTTCTTATGCAAATTGCCAGCAGAGCAAACACTTACAGGACAGAAATCCGGCAGAGCAGGGCACTTCTCCCCACACCCACCACAGGCAGGGTTTGCCCCAGCCTAACCCCAGGCTTACTGACAAATATGGCCAAGACATGCAGCCCAGCAGGGCCAACAGAGTGTCTTTAATAGGTGTGGAGCTTTCAGGGTGCTGGACGTGCTCCCCACAGCATCGCTGTGCCAGGCTCCATGTGCCTGCCTGGGGGATGCCCAGCGCTGCTGTCCCTGCTGCAGAGCCACGTGCACGGAGAAATGGAGCACGAGCCAGTCCTCGCTCAGGGACCAGGGAATGTCCATGACTGGACCAGATTTCTGAGTTGTCAGGTGGTCAGGATGAGGGGATGGAAGCATCCTCGTCCCCCCTGATGCACTCCAAATCCTGACAGGACGGGCTGAAGGGAGCCAGCACAGCCCCACTGCTATGTCCACACGGGGGTCTGAGGCATGGCGTAGGGTGCCCAGAAATGGTCCCGGGCTGCACCCCGGGAGCTCAGCTGCCCACGCACCGCTGGCAGTCCCCTCCTGGGGCTCAGCTGTCGAAGGCTGCGGTCACCCCGCAGCACAGGCACAGCCGGCAGCAGCCGCGGCGGGGGAACAGCGCCGGAGGCACCGCGTCTTGGCACAGCCCCGCCGGCTGCTGGGTCACCGCCTTCTCCTTGCACGAGCCCTTGGTGGGCGAGTCGGGCTGGGACCTGCCGGCCGCGCGGGGATGCTCTTTGTCAGCCTTGACGGCGAGGAATGTGGCCAGGTCGAGGTCGAGCATGGTGACCCCGCCGCGCGGCGTGGGCGTGTTTTGGCGGCACTGCGGGCAGGGGATCCAGCGCTGCTCGTTGGTGACGGCGTCGAGGCGCTTCAGGCAGGCCTGGCAGAAGGTGTGGCCGCAGTAGAGCCGCCGCGGAAGCCGCGCACACAGGTCGTAGGAGGAGTAGCAGATGATGCACTCGACTCGCTGGCTGCCCCGGCTCGGCGTGCGCGAGTGCGTCCCGACACACGGCCCCGCGTCCTCTGCCCGGGGGCTGCCGCCGGCCTGGGACATGCTGGGCGGGGGAGGTGGGGTTTAGAGGAGTCACCAGACCCGTCCGTGACTGGGGAGGGGGTCAAGGGGTGGGATATAACCTCTGCGTGCACCCGCCTTGTGGGAGAGATGGGGGAGTTCCCTGGGAGGCACCATACTCCCTGCCCATCATCCCTGCCTGCTGCCTGCCTGTCCCATGGCCAGCCCTGCCTGGAAGAGCAGGACCCTGTCACTGCAGTGGGTTGTCCTTGCATCCATGGAGGATGTTTTCCCACCCTCAGTGGGAGATCTGCCAGCCCACGGGGAATATGGTCTAGGCAGACCCCAGCAGCCTGCCTGGACCCTGCGTCCAGAGGAGACATGGGGGGAGCAGGAGTGGGGTGGCTGAGTGGGTCGGAGGGCAACACTCAGGGGACCAGGCAGTGCCACAGCCCTGCTCCT